TTCCGGAGTTATCGATGACCTACTTTCGAAATTCTAACATTTCATAGTCGTTTAATTGGATCTTTGAGTAACCCCTCCTTATAATGTACTTCTCATGCCTCTACTTAGGTCTTATGCAAGTAAATTTCTGTGTAAAATATAAAATAGGTACTTACACATGTAGATATTTGTATATTTTGTTCAACAACCTGCCGCTTTATTCGATTTCAGGTAAACTACATCCGGGTAATTCATACATTCATACAAGTTATGATGACGTCATTTCCACAGGTGTGTTTTTTACCGCCATCTATCATTCAGTAAATAAAGCACAAATATGTTTAAACTTGGGATCATGGACTCAGATTATAGACGAAGAAGACAAAATAATTTCTCAGTTACAAGGTATTGGGTAGGTATACTAAGTACAAGGGCGGATCTAGGAACCAACAATGGGGGGGGGGGGGGGGGGCAAACTTCTGGTCTGAGAAAAAATTTTGGGCCCCTAAAAAAATTTTAAAATTTGAGGCCCATTTTCTTTTTGGGGCCTAAGGCCTTTTTTGGCTCAAATTTATTTTGGGCCCAATTTTTTTCTGGGACCACCTGAGGGGGGGCTGGGCCTCCAGGCTCCCCAGATCCGCCAGTGAAGTATACCTACCCAATACCTTGGCCTTACCTTCTTCTAAGGCCACTGTATTCCAGATGAAATCACCTCTAGCCAAGTATTGGCTAGAGACTCGAGTAACCTTGGCCATGTTGTTCTGATCACTCCAAGCACATAGATTCCTCAACAAGACAATTAGCAACTACAATGGGCAAAACTGAAGCCGAGAACGCCACCAAAGAACTGAGAAAAACAGCATCGGAATACAAATAAAAAAGACTTTCAACTTCAACAACAACAACAACAACACCAAAACAACACGGCCAATAGACCACCAAACAACAAACCCCGGCCCTTCTCAGGGCCACCCCTTTTCTACCAAAACTTACATTTATGAATTATAACTTTAATTCTGAAACAACCAATGTATGACTGGATGAGTGGATGAGTGTAGCAACCATTTGCAAATTATAATACACATGTAACAAACAACACAAGAAAACACGATACTACCCACATAAAAACACCGCACCCTAGGGTTCAAACACAAACACATAAAATCAAGTTAATATCTCAACAATAACAAGAGATGCTACGACTACAACATGCACAACGATATAAAGCTCGGACATGACACTACACACAGCACACCGTTGAAAAACAACTCACCCACCACTTACATACCAAAAAACACAACCAAACAAACACGAAATTTTCAAACCAAAATAGCGCATTTTTGGACCAAAATTGTCACAAGTGAACTACCCCTGGAATTTTTCAAAAGTGACCCATCCCCTTTGACAAATCCTGGCTACGGACCTGCCTCAAAACTGCGATAAAACCAAAATACAAGCCCGGGGTTCTCCAGTTGAAGACATCCAATCAATGACCACTTGTTACACCGGAATGATCATGCATATCGTATTGAGCTCACTAGATCATCATTCCGGTCCAACAGAACATCCTTCAAGATCGGTCCTTCACTGCTTTTATAGCAGATCATGTAATGCAATGACTTACTCTTGGGCCAAGGATGTAACAGAACAGAACCACTCTATCCCCAAAGTAAAATCAATTCCCCAGTGGGCGCTTTCGTATCGCAAGCAGAACTAAATGTGGAACAGTATCTCCATTTTTGAGGGGCCCGCCGAGGGGTAAGGTCACCATTTTTACAGAAATGATCAGTTATATTCCGTAGTAATGTAAACACCAACAGTGTTACGGCTGTGATCATATGGAAGGGGTGTGTATATAATGCAAAATAAACTGGAAACTTGATTTGATGATATTTTGTATTCATATTTGGTGAGTGGCCTTGTATCAAACAGATTGTACGCGACAATCATAGCATTAACTACGTAATGTAAGTGATCGCTATATATTATCTGGGCTATGAGAGAGAGAGCGGGTTTCACTGGGGGACTCAAATGTCCCGCGCCAAACGGGTGCGCATAAGACCCCCCTTTTGAGCATTTTCCATGTCAATTTCCTCTCAAGATTATCCCAGTGATTTGTCCCCTGGCAGCTGATTCAAACAATTTCATACCATTTTTGTTGGAAAACTGAATTTCAACCTAAACAGGTATTTTCTAAGACAATTTTCCATGTTTTCTTTTTCTCTCAGATTTGCTAGTTTCCATGGTTTTAGCCGAAAGCCAAAATTGGCCGTGCTGCACCTACATTACCTACCCTGCAAAGCCCTGCAAATCATTTAGAGTGAACCCCCGGGCAAACATGTCACTTTGATATTAATGACACAATTTTTACATCCTTACCATTTTGTGTCAAATACATATATGTCGATATTATTAAATACCCAATATCCCTCAGTTAAAAAAGATCACAAATTAAAATCCGAAAAGGACCGTTGGCTCACCACCGAGCGCTCATTTATCAGCACTTAGTGATTTTGCAGGCTCAGTCTGCATCAGGCTCACGGTTTTCACTAACAACTTTAAAAAAACTACCTATTTGTCATCGTGAATTTCGAGAGATGCATTGACTTTTTGGAAAATGCATTTTTTGGGGAAAATCTACACTGAAAATGGATTTGAAGGTCAGCTCTAAATATTGTCGAAAATATTGTGCCCCACTTTTTTTCCATCTCTGGACAGTAAAACAGACAGATGGACGGACGGACGGACGGACGAATGTATGAACGGGTGCAATAATTGCATTCTCATTCGATGGATGCAATGTTACGTTGTCCTTTAGAACTTTCAACATTGTCAAGGAGTACTTGACAATATTCTTACAATAATATCTCTATAATTACCAATATAGATTTATAGGATATCCTATGATTTTGAGGAATATCATTTTTATCTACGAGGTGATATTGATATCTGCACGAGAGAGCGAAGCGAACGAGTGCATATTTCAATATCACCGAGTAGATTAAAATGATATTCTGAAAAAAATCATAGGATGATGATCCTACACTTACAAGGAGTGTACTAAATGTATACTATCATTGCAAAATGAATGCCATGCCAAATAGAGTCAATTTGGCGGGAAATCAACAAGCGGAGTATATCGTCACAATATCCTCCGCATATTGGGTTTTCCGGAGTATATCGTCACGATATCCTCCGCCCGGAGTATATCGTTACGATATCCTCCGGATATTCATTTTGCCAATAAATATCAAATTTATTTTTTTAATGTTATTATACATTTAGTAGACTAAGTGTAGGATAAAAAGGTTTATCAAAACAAAAGCTTACCTAATTTCCTGTTAAGATTATCACCCTTGGGATAATCTGATAATGTCATCGGTACGCGTTTGTATGAAAACATCATTTTCGTTTTAGCCTCAAATGTCACATAAATATGTATTTATACGTGGTGTTAATTTTAGAAATCTAGTGTTATGTTTAAACTAATTATAGCCAATGAAAATATGGAAACGGTAACGGATGAGAAACGGTGAAAAAATCAAATAAGAATAGTACCAGGACTTTTGTAAGTCATATCTGAGATTATAGTAGTAGATGATAATTATATCAGATCCCGTGATATTTTATAAGTGGTAGATGTCCGCCATCTTTTTTAAAGATAATTAGAAATAGGCTTTCGAGCAGAACTTGTACTTACACATGGGGTATATACAATATAAACGATATGGAGTCAACGATATTTGAGTTAATGCTCGGACAGTCGTACGGACGGAGCCGTTCTCTAAATTTCCCCCCGAACTTGGTTCGATGGGATAGAAATATCGAATTTGACACTTGAACGAGTCATTTTGAAAGAAAATGTCGGCTAATGGGTACGGCTGTTGCATTCTTTTGAAATTGGTAAGTGAATCTCTTTTAATAGTGACTCTGATGAGTTCTGAACGGGCGTTTATACCAGCCTATATATTATAAGTATTTTATTAAGCTGTACATCGGATTCTAAAATATTTCAATAAAAAACGATATAAAACGTGCCCCATCAGTGCAACTCTAGTATTTTTCTCTATACTTTTCGCGAATTTTTGGCCTTCAAAAAGTCTAATAAATTAACGCCCTGTTGATTCCACTGAGCACATTTATAACGTATCATCATGGCCAGTGTTTCATTGAAAGAAGGCAATTTATCAAATAATTACCAACAAAAGTGCGTGGTCAATTCCAGAACAAAGGGACTTACAATCGTCATATGCTGATGCATTTATCCTGTAAGTTATTCGTGTTGTTTTTACATTACTTACCAGGCACTACTAGGCAACCCTGAATGTTGAACAAGCTTTCCGAGGCGGGGGCAACAAAGAGACGCAGGTAGCTCAGTTGGGGGGAGACCACTTCCAGCCCCATGGGGTGTTAGCCATACCACTCGACGCAAGTCAATTGATAAGGTAACTGTTCTTTCTAATCATCTCGTTGTCTCGATTAAAACAACGTTTAACACAAAAGGTAAGTGCCGCATGTTAAATTTCAAGGAATAATTGACATTTGGCGTAGGACGCAATGAGAGTTTTAAATGATGTTTTATAATCTGCGTGGGTGGACAATACTGCTGTCTCGTTCTGTCTCCTTCCTCCTCTCGTTTTTAAAGGTCTTCCTTTCATCACAAATCAATATGTTTGTATACAAACGGCTGAATAAAAAAGGTTAAGAAACTTTCATTCATAATTTAAACGTCATGCTTTTAATGAGATCACGTGAAAGTTAAGTAACTTCATGTTAAGTAACTTCATAACCGCAAAATGTTTACAATTGGTATAAAACTGAGCAACATATACAAAAATGTATTTTCTAAGAAAATGTAAAAAAGATTTCTAGTTTTTAATTTACCTTAAACTATCATATAAAACATAAAAAAGAAATAGAAGAAGTCAGCTATAGTAAATAACTTTTAAAAGAGCGAAATGATAAACAGTGTTTTATTAACTTTTGCTTTGACATCTCTAGTAGTTTTATTATTTATCAGAATGACGAGATCGGTAACACAGGGACCGTTGCAGTTACCGATTTTCGGCAGTATCTTTCAGATAGGATCACGGCCACATCTTGCTTTCACGCGGATGGCAGCAACGTACGGTCAGGTGTATCAAGTCTTTATCGGAACAAAACCAGTTATCATAGTGAACGGGTATCGCGCAATGAAAGAAGCGTTACTTGGAAATGGTAAGGATTTTGCGAGTAGGCCAATGTTTGAATCACTAGGATACCTGAGTGACGGAATGAGTATGGCGTTTGGGGAATATTCAAAAGTTTGGGAAGTTCAGCACAAAGTTGCGATCGCTGCAGTTCAGGCGATAATGACAGACAAACAGTACAGAATGGACGATACTATTTCTACAGAAACGGACAAACTTGTTCAAGATTTAATTAAGAATGGTAAGTCCGAAGTGGACCCAATGTCACATATCTACGAATCCATTTCACAAATCACTTTCAAACTTTGTTATGGTGACATTGGAACAGATGCCCCCGTTAAACGTCTGCTACAGGCCAATCACGATTTAACAGAGTTTCAAATAGAAGGAAACCCAATTGATTTCATGCCATGGACTAAAAAATTGCTAAAAAATAAATTTAATAAATACACTGAAGACTGTGATTATATGATGAACGTTTGTGCCAAACTTGAATATGGTCGTATGGAAGAACATAAAGTAAACCCTGACGCAACACAAAAGACATGTGGCGCGTTAGATGCCATTATTTCAGCTTACAAAAAGCTATCTGACGAGGAAAGGGAGACAGATGGCCTCACTACTGGGCATATTCTTCACATCACTCAAGATTTCCTCGGGGCCGGGAGTCATGCAGTAGCCTACACGCTGTCTTGGTGTATCTTATACATGATTAAATATACACAAATTCAGGACAAAGTCCGCGATGAAATTACCAGAAAGAACGGAGGCAATATTAAGGATTGTGAACATTTGCGCGACTTTCCCTACACAGAAGCAGTTATACACGAGGTGTTCCGACACGCATCATCTGTGCCTCTCGCCCTGCCTCACTCCACAACGACGGACACATTCGTACACGATAAGAAAATTCCAAAAGGCACAATTGTGCTTGCGAACCTTCATTCTCTTCACAACGACCCAGATGTTTGGGAAACACCAGAAGAATTTAACCCGGGACGTTTTCTCGATGATAATGGAAATATCATTCGTTCACGAATTAACATGGTAAAACCATTCGGAATGGGGAAACGCAAGTGCACCGGTGAGATTCTAGGAAGATATGAAGTATTCCGAGTCTTCACACGGTTAGTTCAGAAAATTAAATTTCATCAAATTGAGGGACACACATATGACATAACACCTAGATTTGGACTTGCATTAAAACCAAAGGACTTCCCCGCACGGATCTCTGCGATATCTTCTGAGTAGGTCTTCTAATAAATAATTCAAAATTGGAAAAACATTGTATACTAAATTATTGGTCGACAGCAGTATGAAACTAACTAGAGTCAGCTAAACCAAGAAAAATATGAATTCCAAATTGTTTACCAGCCAATCAGAACACGCTATTTCACGTAACTGCATTCGATTTTACAAGTGTATAACCGATCACCGCAAGATTGAATGTTTGTCGATGGTTGTCAAGGTAATAACAAATGAAATTGATGCTTTGTCAGCTAGACCATTGCAAGTTTCATTGAAAATATGTTCTTTAATTTTGTTAGATGAGTGGAGAGTCAAACGATAACGGAATTCACTTAATTTTTCTACGACTGTCAATAAACGGACACCATCCCTTACTATACGTAGAAATAAATAAATTATTAAGTATGACAAAACTACTGAGCAATAAAGAAATATTTTAAACGCAGTGTCTTATTCAGACCCTTTCATTAACAAATATGTACTCCTACAGTCATGAAATGACTTGATGGATCAAGATGCATGGTTGACCAGCCAGGGGATTGGATAGACATTGTAAAATGTAAATGATCTTATCATCCGATTTTGACACTCATCAAATCTTTTTGTTTTCAAACTATTCAGAAACTAACAGGAGGTTGTGATACATGAAGTTATTTTCCAATATCATTTTTAGGTTGGGGCATATTCGATGTAGTTTGGATCGTTCAGCAATACTTTGAAAGAACGTTGTGAGGATATTGTTTTTGAGAGACCCATTTTTATGCAAGATTGTTCAAATATAAACAATTCGTCCATTTTGTCTTTATCCCGTCTGCAGTTCATAGTAATATCAAGTTCAGATCACAAGATGTGGAGACGCGGAGTATTTTCGGAAGAGCATGTTGGTGTAGTTTTATTTAATAGACCGTGAACATTTTATATTGTTTCCTCATCTACCAATAGTTTTACTGTTTTAATAATTTTAACAACATGACTTCGACAAATTGTTGTGACATTTCTTTCAAGGGGTTTTATCGTGAAAGAATGCCACCTGATCTGGATCAACCAGATTCCTTGTATTCCTTAAAGAGGATCTATGCCATAGGAAAGCACAATCAAGACCCCTCTGGACTTTTTTGCATATTGAGTTTCACCACATATATATCCATCTACTTTCCAAAGAAGAAGTCCCATATCCCCCTCTTTCAGTATTAATTTTGCGATTGTGCTGGCCGATCTAATTATTTTCGAAGAAATTAATTCAATCTGAAGTTTGAATATACCGGGAACAAGGAGGATTGGCTCCCAGAGTGCAACATCGATATTCTGCCCCATATATGGGTATGTCGTGCTACAAAATTTGAATTCCAACGACCGCCATTTTGTTCACTTCAACATTTGAATCGCAAGGAGGATTGGCTCCCAGGATCGAAACTCGATATTTTCCAACAATGAAAACGTCGAAATGTCGTTATTTTCTGAAATTAAAACCGACTATAAATTCAAAATAAACAGTTCAAAAGATTCGAACCAATATCTCGATCATTTCTTGTGAGTTTTGGAATTTTTCGTTTGGAAATAAGACCAAAATTCACGATTTAAATGTTGAAGTGAACAAAATGGCGGCTGTTTGAATTCGAATTTTGTATTACGACATACCCATATATGGGACAGAATATCGGTGGTGCACTCTGGGAGCCAATCCTCCTTGTTTGAATCGTGAATTTTGGTCTTATTTCCCAACGAAAAATTCCAAAACTCACAAGAAATGATCGAGATATTGGTTCGAATATTTTGAACTGTTTATTTTGAATTTATAATCGGTTATAATTTCAGAAAATAACGACATTTCGGCGTTTTCATTGTTGGAAAATATCGACTTCGATTCTGGGAGCCAATCCTCCTTGTACCGGGAAGGTCCTCCTGTTATCTGATTGGTCGTTGAATTTGTTTATCATAAACCTGATTGGCTGCCTGGTTCAAGGCGCCTGTGCGCGCTTGTGTGACTCAATGGGGATTCCCCTCGCTAGCCGAGGAATCCATTGTGTTTAATTCTGGAGTTTGGTTGTTTTGTTGATTATTTCCGATATTTGTCAATAATATACCCAAAAGTTATTCTCAAGATATATCCATAGTATGTGAGTATGTCTGGGGGAGAAACCTATGGCGTAATGCATCTTTAATAATTTGGAATTGATCCTGTAAAGCTCTTTATTCCAGTTACCTTTCCCATAAAATCAGAACAAACAATGCCTTTTGCTAAAACAAATATAGTCTGATTTATTGCTGCCAATCATGTTTATACAAACTGAATCGCAAAAAGCTTATATTCCCCTAGTATCTCAAAAGGCCACGAGTTGTTTGTAGAATGAATTGGGGGAGTTTTTCATGCATTTCGCTTGTGTTTTTGATCTAAAAAACATCAAAACACTATACACTGTACACTATAAGATTGCACCATATAATCCCAAACAATATTACTCATTTTCAAGGATTATCTATGGATTAACACCCAGGTATTTTTTATTTTTGAAACTTCAGAGAGCTGGGAATCATTGATTACGAATGCTTTTGAATAATATAAATGCTGTTTTAAATATGTTCCGTGAATGCCAATAATTTCTTAAATTGTGTTGTGATATAAACCAAAACAACCCAATAAGTTGTGTATTAATGATTAACTTTCCTCAAAATCTGCTTGGAACTATACAATTGGTTTACTATGGGAAATTCTTCAGAGAAAATTCTAGGGATTAAGGAATGGGTACCATTTACCATTAATGAGAAATATTTTTTTGGATTATATGGTGCAATCTTATAGTAAAAAAAAAAGTTTTAAATTGTATTGAATTTTTTTAGATGAAAAACACAAGCGGAATGCATGAAAAAACTCCCCCGATTCATTCTACAAACAACTCACGGTTCTTTCTTTTTCTTATATGACACACTATGTATCACTCAGACAAAAGACATTTACATGAATGAACTGCAGCTCTTTGACTTAAACTAACTTAACAAATAGATTAGCATTTCTAAGATACAACAGCAGCTATCCACCAATTTAAATATGCTGCTCTCATTGTCCAGATTTCTCTACATTCACAAAAATGCTGCTCCCTCAAGTCACATTTTTGCTGTTACCTAGACTCACATATATGAATGGTCCTACACTCACATGTATGCTGTTACCTAAACTCACATATATGCTGTTCCCTATAGTTATACAAATGTGTTGTTCCCTATACTCACATGTATACTCTACACTATGCTGTTCCCTAAACTCATATGAATGTTGTTTCCTACATTTACATATATAATGTTCCCTTAACTCACATGTATTCTGTTACCTTAACTCACATATATGCTGTTCCCTAAACTCATACATATTGCTGTGCCCTACATTCAGATATATGCTGTTCTCCAAACTCTCATAAATGCTGTTCCCTAAACTTCTATATGCTGTTCCCTTGTTCCCTAAACAACCATATATGCTGTTCCTGAAACTCCATAGCATTCAGTTTCTTTGATATGGAACATCCTTTTGTTATAACTGTACAATGTACATGTACACACCCTCATCATCACCTGCCTTTTCACAACATACAACAATCCTTGGAAATGTTCACAGTATAAAGGTCACTATACGATGATGGTATGAGTAGGAGAGAACAACTATGTGTGTTTTGCCCCCGCCTTCCTGTTTTTACGATCAATATATCTCCTTAATGCAGTGTTATCTGCAAGGTCACTTATTCTCACAGGGTTGGGATTTGCGCAACCAGCCACAGGGCATCTGGAAATCACAGACATGGTATTTCAATTAATTTATCAGGTTATGTATAGGTAGCCACATATGACATACCATTGGAATTCACTGAATGTTTTTGAACTGTTTAACATGAAAAAGTGGGTTGTTCAATTTTGTATCATTGGCTTTTTACACTTATCAGTCTTCATGAGGCTTAAATCGAATATATGTTTTCTAATTTTCAATTATGAGTATGAGTGTTTCATTGGGTTTTGTTTGAACACTGCCATTTTCATATAATAAAATGAATTCAAACTTTTCTCTGAATAGACAATATGCAAAGAGAAATAATCTTGATTAATGTCATTAAATATTCAAAATTGATTTAATTGATTGATCATATGTAAACTTACATCTCAATTGTACAATATGAAAGTCAAATCTGAAATCTAAAGTCCGATTTAAACTTCTGAGAAATTGTAGATGATTTTTAAAAAGAAATTTGGTCAATTTTAAGCAAGTTCAAAAAATAACTTTTTTACCTTTTTTACCTTGAGATTGTCATTGAAGGTCAAATCTAAAGTCAGATTTGATTTTCTGAAAACTTTGTAGATGATTTAAAAAAAAACCAGAACAACGGCAACGCCAAAGCGTAGCGAATCCCATCGAACAGAAATGGCTGGCATTTTTACAAACGAAGCGCAAATATCATAAAACAACACACCAGAAAGGCCACCATTTTCAAAATGGTTGCTCACTAGCCAAGTTGTCATCAGAAGAAATAATATGCTTTTAAGTAGCCACCTCTAAAATTTTTTGAAAAATCGCACACATACTTGTAAAATAACACACGTAAAGATGGTGGCCATTTTTCAAAATGGCTGACTACTCCCCAAAGTTTTATTAGACAATGTGCCATGCTTAAAGTATTCACATATCAAATATGAACAAAATCGCTCCACTACTTTTCGAGTTATAGTAAAATACGTTAAAATGGCGGCCATTTTTCAAAATGGCCACCTTCTACCAAAAGCGTCATTAGAAATAGACGGTGTTCGATAGTGTTCACATACCAAATATGAACAAAATCGCTCCACTACTTTTCGAGTATTAGTAAAATACGTTAAAATGGCGGCCATTTTTCAAAATTGTTTTCAAAATGGCCGCCTTCTACCAAAAGTGTCATAGGACAGTGTGCCATGCTTATAGTATTCACATACCAAATATGAACAAAATCACTCCACTACTTTTCGAGTTATAGTAAAATACATTTAAATGGCGGCCATTTTTCAAAATTGTTTTCAAAATGGCCGCCTTCTACCAAAAGTGTCATAGGACAGTGTGCCATGCTTATAGTATTCACATACCAAATATGAACAAAATCGCTCCACTACTTTTCGAGTTATAGTAAAATAGGTTAAAATGGCGGCCATTTTTCAAAATGGCCGCTTTCTACCAAAAGTGTCTTTAGACAGTGTGCAATGCTTATAGTATTCACACACCAAATATGAATAAAATCGCTCCACTATTTTTAGAGTTACAGCAAAAATCGTAAAATGACGAGTAAAGGCCGCCATTTTTCAAGATGGCTGCCATGTGCTTTTTAATATCTACATTTGTAGCATTATTAATGTCCTTTATAATTTTTTTTACATTTAAAACATATTGCTATTACAGTTTTACATATTGCACCTAAATTACTGTAAAATCGTCACTAAAATGGCCACCATTTTGAAATGAGTGGCCATTTTGAAAATCGGCTTTCGGGCAGAACTTCTACCCCCAAAGGGTATATGTGTACGAAATATGAACAAAATCGGGCCAACGGTATTTGAGTTATTGCCTGGACGGACGGACGGACGGACGGACGGAGGCGTTCCCTATATCCCTCCGAACTTTGTTCGATGGGATAAAAATCAATCTGAAGCAAGTTCAAAAAAAAACATTTTTGACCTTTTTTTGACCTGGAGAAGGTCACCAAAGGTCAAGTCTAAAGTCAGATTTGAATTTCTGAGAACTTGTAGACGATTTTGAAAAAAGGATAGCTAAAGTTAGATTTGAGCTAAAGTTAGATTTTTTACCTTGAGAAGGTCATTTAAAGTAAAATATATCTGAAAACTTTTTTGGAACTTGAGAATATCATTGGAGGTCAAATCTATAGTCAGATTTGAACTTTTGAAAACTTCTAGATGATTTTGAAAAAATTGATCAATTTCAAGCAAGTTGAAAAAAGACCTTTTTGAACTTGAGAAGGTCAATGAAGGTCAAATTTCAATTATAAAGTCAGATTTGAACTTCTGATAACTTGTAGATGATTTTGAAAAAAAATTGTCAATTTGAAGCAAGTTGAAAAAAGACCTTTTTCAGATTTAAACTTCTGATAACTTGTAGATGATTTTGAAAAAAAAATTGGTCAATTTGATTGAAAAAAAATTTGGTCAATTTGAAGTTGAAAACAGACCTTTTTGACCTTTTTATGACATTGAGAGGGTCAATGAAGGTCAAATCTCAAATCTAAAGTCAATTTGAAGCAAGTTGAAAAAATACCTTTTGGACCTTTTTTAATCTTGAAAAAGAAGGTCAAATCTTAAATCTAGAGTCATATCTGTTGAAAAATACCTTTTTTGACCTTGAAAATATCACTGAAGGTCAAATCTTAAATAAAAGTCAGATTTGAATTTTTGAAAACTTGTAAATGATTTTGAAAAAAAACTGAAGTCAGTATAAACAGTATTTGATATGTTATTGGAAGTTGTAAGAATTTGTTACAGACGCCACCCGCCGATCACAGAGACCATAACAATATGTCACCACTTTATGGTAGTGACATAAAAATTAAAATAAATACTCCTCAAAATAGATAAAAAAAGTATACCTTTTATTTCATTAATTAGATACTTATATTAAACCAAACCATAACCAAACTTTCCTTTGTACAATTACAATGACCATTAAATTGACAATCCATAATTTTTTTCAGAATCTGAATCTGAATCTATGAATTAGCCACTTGGTGATGAAACTTTAGCTAGAAATACTTTAGTTAGAAAATAACAACTCGCTGGAGGATTAAATTCCAAAGAACAAAATATGCTTCCTTTATCATTATGGACTATCTAATATGTGAAAATATTTTTATGTAAATAGTTTTTAAACTGTCAGTTTAATGTAAGTGTTTAAAATAATACAGAGATAAGAGAATCAATAACCCAAGAAGTATTTGTTTCATTAGATTCTACACTTTTAATTTCTCAGGTTTTCGTCAAGAATGATTTCAAGGAACTAAATGTTTTCTGAAAATTTATTTTTATATCATTACATATTTTTACATTCAGATTAGTGTGATTTCTTTTCGTTCCAACTAGGATAACACTGGTTGCCAATATTGAGAGTTCACTTGCTTTTACTCAGTCATCTATTAATATGTAATTAGCATCTATGCTACTGTCACAATCACCACTTTTTGGTGGTGACATAATAAATACCAGCAGTTCTTGAACTGAGCCCTGAACACCACAACAAAGAGGTATTTGTTCAGATTGATAATAGGTTATGGTGACATACTGTTAACTTTTAAGAACTAGCTTTCAAAGTAGGATATAGTAATTCCCCTGATGCCATAATATTCCAGTTTTTGTATCAAAACAAAATTTGTCATTAAAAATGTAAAACAGATAAAAAATGAAGTGCATCAAATTTTGAGTTATTATCAGAATTATTTGATGCAGAAACATTCAAAACAAGCACCAAAAAACAATACAAAACTTTACAAGGTGAGCCAAAAAATGCAACCAATTACTTTTTTTTAATAATGATTGAACCAACTCGATTTATTTCAAGTAGTATTGGATATCAAGTAATGCCAAAAAAGTAAATGAAAGTTTTGAACATTTTATTCATTGGTTGCATTTTATTTGGCCAATAGGTGGCACTGTAACCTACTTGGCTCTGTTCTTTTTATGTTTGATGTATTCCTCGATTCCTTTCTTGTCATAGGTATGCTTACAATGAATGTTGGATACTGGTTGAACCATTTCTTTCAAGGTATATGGACATTTTGTGTTTATATCCTGAAAAAATACAAGCATATGCATTTTTAATAGATATTTGAAATGACTATTTTCAAACATATCTGTTTATATCTGTTTATATTTGGGCGTGCACTATGCATACAATTTAATCTAAATTTACAAATGTGATGTTTATATAATACTGCAAAAGAGATTTGTATGCAAATGATGTTTGAATATTCTTGCAAAGGAGTTTTGTATGCATATCAGTGTTTTCAGTAGGCTTGTCCAAGATTGCATCCCTGGGACGTAATGATTTAAAAAAAATGCTATTTGTCCTATCACATGCCTCGTACTATTTCAATCAGAAATCAACTTCCGGGAAGGAAACTTCGAAAGAAAACTTTAATTCTTTTAGAAATAGAATTTCCTTCAATTATTTAGCGGATTCTGATGAAATAAAGAGACTGAAGGTAAGATCTTTATCAAATCATTCATCCAAAGTTGATTTTATACATATGGCTTGCACTGCTTCCAAAAATCGCAGTTCATTTTTATTTCCGGGTCCAACTTTTTTTCATTACGTTTTTTCAATGCTTGGACGGCGTTATTGAAAACACAGCATATAATGTTTGAATAATCCTGCAAAGGTGATTCATACATGTTATCTTTAGGCTAGAGGCTAGTTACAAAGTAAACAAAGCTCTCTTTTAAGAAGCAAATGAAACAAATCTAAAGGGTAATGTCATAAATTGAGAAATTTTGGAGAAGGATGTCTTCAAGAAAAATGTTAATTTTCCCCCAAGTGTATAGCAATTTGACAAACAAACAAACATATTTTAGTGTATTTGTTGTCTAAACAATGATTTTTTTTCTATGAACCTACTGGCTAATGTGCTTCAATAATTTGATAGTTATTTACTTAGTATCTCTTCATTCCTACCTGCTGGGTCATTTCAATGTCGTCATCCTCTGTTAAAGTGGATGGGCCTGGCATCACAGGATCAGCTACATCTACAGTATATGTATGAATAACAGGTGTTATAAGAGTTGTGTCAAAATATCAGTGTCTTTTTACAACAATTTACAACTTATTAAACATGCGGTGTGGGTCTGGTCAGTTATATTTTAGAAAACCTACTTCTAAAATTAAATTGTCACTTTTACTGCTGAAAGCCACATCCATATTTAAGTACTGACAAACTACATTCATACAGGATGTTACAAATGAATGGGGCTTACGCAAGTAAATGGAAATCTTGTATCAAAGAAAATCCAGTATTCTAGGTCCAAAGACCTCACCTTATCACTCCTCTCAGTAGGGCCCACTTGCTAGTGGAGATTTTAGAAGAAAATGAGTAAAATATATGATAGAGTATTCCACCATTTTACCTCCATTTAACTCCTGCAAGATCTTCTGATTGAACTCCACATATTTCTCATGTTGTTTCAATGTTTCATCTTTGTTGTTTCTCTGTAACTCTTTCAATTTAGTATCTAACAAGTCCTCATAGTTGGAGCAGTCCTCATTGGCAATCTACAATATTTGACAATAAAACAATCTTTAGTGGTAATCTGGAATCAATGAATATAAAGCAATATTTAGGAAACCTGGAATTTGTGACCATAAGGCAATATTCAATGGTAAAATTGAGAAATCATTTTTGGTTATCTTGAATTTGTCACCAAAGCAATCTTCAATGATTAAATGGTATAAGTGACTATAAAGCAATATTTAATCTACAAAATTTGACCATAAACCAATTGTAAATTATAATATACAATGATGGTAATCTAAAGGCAATATTGTTGGCTGAAAATCTAATTAAAAAAAAAAGAATTCAATACTTCTGAGACAATTCCTCACTATTATACAGAATAATCATATCAACTACCTTCTCTTTAACAAAGTCAACTGCCTCAAGGAATTGTTGAATATCTCTGTCCATACGATTGTAATCCAACATTATCTCTCTTAGTTTGTCCACTTTCATTGTTCCACTCTCTGAATCTGTAAATGTAAGAGTCATATAGTAAAATATGAGTTATGTGACCAATGTCAAAGTCATGAGGTCAATGCAGAGTCAATAGGCCAATGCAGTTATGTGGCCAATGTAGTCATAATGCCCATGTAGAGTTATGAGGTCAATGCAAGAGTTGAGTGACCAATGCCAGAGTCATGAGGTCAATGCAGAGTCAAGAGGCCAATGCAGTTATGTGGCCAATGTAGTCATAATGCCCATGTAGAGTTATGAGGTCAATGCAAGAGTTGAGTGACCAATGCCAGAGTCATGAGGTCAATGCAGAGTCAAGAGGCCAATGCAGTCATGTGGCCAATGTAGTCATAATGCCAATGTAGAGTTATAAGGCCAATGCAAGAGTTGAGTGACCAATGCCAGAGTCATGAGGCCAATGCAGTCATGTGGCCAATACAGAGTCATGAGGCCAATGCAGTCATGTGGCCAATACAGAGTCATGTGGCCAATGCAGTCATGAGACCAATACAGAGTCATGTGACCAATGCAGAGTCATGAGACCAATGCAGGGCCATGAGGCCAATGCAGAGTCATGTGACCAATGCAGGGCCATGAGGCCAATGCAGAGTCATGTGACCAATGCAGGGCCATGAGGCCAATGCAGAGTCATGTGACCAATGCAGATGAGCAATGCACATGGTCAATAACATATGACAAAACATCAACATTCTGCTGCAATTACAAAAGTGTAACAATTTATAACAGGTGATGAATGCTATTATGGACTAAAAGTCCCAAAAAACTTTGGCTTTTAAACCCTCACAAGTTACCTGTAAAAGAAATAACTTAGTACTAAAATTGAATCAAACCTTTTTCATGTTCAACCACATCTAACGCAACATCAGTAGTATGCTCTGTTCCTGCCATGATGTATGTCTGCACTTTTGTAACAGTCTCCAATGCCTTGTTAACATGTGACATATATGCCATTGCCATTTTAGCTTAGTACACTAGTATGTACCTAAAACAATGTTATCAAGGATTAAAAAGATGATCTCCTTATATCTAGATACATTTTTGCCTATATTAGTAGAACATGTGCTTCATTTGTGCATTCTATCCTTGAAATAAGAGTCTTATGCATCTATATGTGAGTACGTTTCGAAAAGATTCTATTTTGAAAAATCACAGCTTATTTATAACACTGAGCATAGGTGAATATTACTAAATGTTGTATCATTTTCAGGGTCGAAGTTTTCAAGGAAATTTTAGGATAGATCTAATTGTAGACTAATCCATGATGAGTAAATCAGCCCCTCCACGATCCATCATACAGGGGTTTCATTAGCAGCAGGCAACAGGCGATTTCACCAGTTGTTTTCACAAAATCACCTGTTGTTTTAAGTAACTTTTCAACTTTTCCATGTTAAATTCATGATTTCCATTCATTTTGCCTGTTGTTTTCATTAATTTAGTCTGTTGTGAAACCCCTGTCATATATTCTATTTATTAGAATATAAAGGGAGTGATTTACTTAACTAATCTAGTACATTTTTATGAAGACCCGCACAAAGTAGGCGGAGCCCTTCACACTATAGAATAGGTTTGAACATGTGACTATCTGTTCGGCCTGCCTTTATTAGCTTATATAGCAAATCGTCAAGGCAACTACCAAGTCATCATATGATGTGATTGTGATTCTAAGATATGACGTATTACATAAGCTATGACATCAGCCACATATTGCCCCATTAGCACTTAGACAAACATATAATTTAAACCTCACACATCACCGTTGATTCTTTAGTAATATGTGTAGTCATAACATGTTACCTAACCAACAACAAAACAAGCACTTATGTTTTTTGTTCATTGTTTTTCTCTGTGGTCTATTATAACAAGATAATCCAGTGAAAATTTCACTAGAAAAATATGAAGGCCATTACAATATGTGGAGAAAACTAATCCACTGTTAATAAAAGACCACAGAAATCAACAATGAACAAAAATAAATGCTTATAAATTTTGTTGGCAAATCCTGGCTACGGGCCTAATGTGACTGATTTAATGTGTCATAATTTATGTTATACTTCATAGCTTTGAAACACAATCACATCATATGACGACTTGGTAGTTGCCTTGACAATTTGCCTTAACATGTTAGCTAATAAAGGCTACTCCCATAAATGTGGGTGGGGGATTTTTCAAATCACCCTCATAACTGCTTACATGTTACATGCTTATCACAACTGATACACACGTATTCAAGAACATTAAAACCCCCGGGGGAAGGGACACTGGACAAATTTTTGTACATGGGGTGCTGCTGAGAGACCCAAAATATCTACCCACATCTAGCGATTTTTTTCTCTAAAAATGGACCCACATCTAGGGTTTTTCTTTCAAAAATATATCCACTTCATTCAAGGTAATTTTTAAAAAACAAGACCCACTTCGGGTAATAACCAGTTAAAGGATTTTTCAAAAAGTAGACCTAGTTCTAGGGATTTTTTCATCAAAATGGGAACCATATCTAGGTTGTTTTTTTTCAAAATGGGACCCACATCTAGGGAATTTTTGGCAAAAAAGTGACCCACTTTAGTGGCACGTCCCCATATAGCCAATATATGGGGGTACCCCCCCCAGTTAATGGATATTTCAAAAAGTAAACCCAGTTCTAGGGATATATATATCAAAATGGGACCCACATATATTAGGGATGTCACGGTTTCCCGATATTGTCCCGGTCTACGGGACTTTGGTCTCAGAACGAGACAATCCTTGTGTACTGAACATTTTGGTCCATGGACAGGATATAATATTCGTCATGTATATGACCCTAAAACTTCCCAAATGAACGATAAATATGATCTAAACTAGAATTTTCTTTTGTTTTTACAACATATCTGCCGGATTACGTTCATGCATAAATGCCATCTAGTGGCAATTCCTTTAAGTGATTATAATAAACAAAAATTCAGGACAGAACATGCAGTTTTATCGAGAACAGTGTTTCCCTTAGACATATGCGTTATTTAAATAATAACAAAGAACTTCATCGGCGAGACAGGTAACAACTTAAATTAATCTCAGATTACATGTTTTTGCGCAACATGCACAGCCCTTGTGACGTTCAAAAGATCCGCACTGCATAAACATACCAGTAGACAGAAAATGTATACTACGTATATTTAATTCGTTATGTCCCGTCCCGTATGTCCCGTCCCAAAATTGATAATTCCCGTCCCTAAGCTGAAATTTTCACTGATTTATCTTGTTTCCTCTTTCAAAATTTCCCACCAATTTTGAGCTCCAAAACTTGCTGAAAGTTAGTAATGTTTAATTTGGATCCTACAACTCCATTTCTGTAGCTCCTGTTATGAAACTGTGGCTAGATGATCTTAACAAAATTTTTTTATAATTATCTTATCATAAAAGCATTAAATTATGCATATTTTGATTGAAAAACTTACGAAATGTAGTGAAGAAAACTTTGTCGGTAGAGAAACAGGAAACGGAAATAAAATGTTGGCGCATGCGTATATCAAAAAGCAGAAATGGCAGACCGAGACCAAATCTTGCTAGATTTCCAGGTAACATATCTAATTTTACGCTTATTCCATGGGTTATGATGTGAATATTTTGTGTACGATTGATCAAATGTATATGTTGAAAAATATTTAAAACTTAGTTTTCGAATGAAATGTCCGATTCGGCCAGGAAGTTCATTTGTTTCTTGAAATCATTGACAATTTTTTTGCAAATCAAATGAAAAATGGAAAATTATATTCGGAGAAACAAGAATGACTTTGTATTTTTTCTTGATTTCCTCCGCCGTAAGGGACACGCTCATGAAAGTAAACTACTTGTTGGAGTTCGACATATGACCGGCATTTGTTGCTGTAATAATTCACTGCTCTTCCTCATTCTTTTTTATTGTCGGATGATTCAGCTCTAATTATCTAGAGTCCATTTCACAGTAATTGCGTCAGTAAAAGCTAAAAAGTACGCCTAAAAAGTAAGAAATAAAAGAATCATTTTGCAATAATATGTGGGAAAATATATTCCAATTGTACATGAATAACATTTGTATATCTTGGATAGCTTCTAGTTTGGCTTATAAAGTATGTGGCCTCTTATATTGGGATGCTTCTCTGCCATGTTATTTTCAATAAGATTAACATGGCTGAAATTCTTCAAATTACAAGACGGCACAGGCTTATTGCACAAAAATCTAAAAAATCTGAAATATACAAATGTCATTCATGTACATGAATATACTTTTCCATATATTATTGCACAATGGTCTCCCAATTTCTTATTTTTGCCGTTCTACTGACGCAATGAAACAGTGAAATGGACTCTAGTAAGATAGAAAGCAAATGGATGAATCAGTCACATTTACTTCAAAGATTTACTCCAGATATTTTTTAGAAAGATGTTTGGTCCTTTTGTTTTAAAAGATTAGAAAAAACATCAAGAAATGAAACCTCTTTTTTATTTCCTGATTTTCGCCTTGTTTAGATTGATGTAAATTGGATAGTTGTCTTCCACAAATCTCATTGTTGTCTTCCACAAATCTCATTGTTGTCTTACACAAATCTCATTTTTAAATGTTTTATTAGCCAAGCTGTGTAGGTTGCTCACAATTATATTCATGCGTAGATTGTAGAAGATGCAAGGAAGTTGTGTAAATAGTTGTATAATTCATTCTATAGTAACACAATAGGCCTAGGAGGATTGGTTCCCAGGAGAGATATTTTTCACTTGTATTTAAGCTAGATCTACTTCATCAATTTGCCATTTTTTAAATTACATGTTTTTTATCTTTCTAGGGTATAACAGGAATAGAAAACTATGAGGAATGTATTGCAGTGTTAGAGCAAAATGACTGGGATCTCATGGTAAGTTTACAATTTTATAAGAGACAGAAAGAAATTGGGATATGGGGAGGTAAATTTTTATATGCAGATATGCATTATACATAAATACATGTAGTTTATTTTGCCTTGTCTGTTTTAAGATTCCGGCTTTACTTTATATGTAGTATATAGCCTTATGTTTAACACTTTTTTATAGGCTGGGGTAAACAGTGTGATGTCGCACTTGGGTTCCCAAAGTTTACCATCAGATGACAACATAAATCCATCAACTGTCCCTCTCTCTCCTGATCTCCATATTGGAGGTGTGAGTTTACAGCCTGAGCCCTTCCAGATACCTAGTCCAGCCTCTGGCAGTGAATTAGGTGCCATGTATGGTGTGAACCTTCCACAAAGTGGTCTTTTCCATGGACTATATAGCGACAGTGGAGCCTCAAGGATGCTCACATTTACTGTGGAACACAGAGATAAGAATATTCCAGTTGTACTTCCAGATTCTGAAACTGTGGGTTAGTTGATCCTTTATAGCCTTGTTTTATGAAGACTGGTATGGGGTACTTTTATGTGTTGCATTATGCAAACAAAAAGTAGATGGAACAAATAGGATTTCTTACGGAAAACATGCTTGCCAGGCTCACAGGCCTGTAATATCTTTGGGCCATACTACCACTTGTCGTACACATGGACCTGCAATTTTGAAATATATCCAGTTCATATTAACTTTAATCAGACTGTAAATTAACTGCAAATTTTTTTTTACTCTAGCCTCTCATTATAACAATAACATGTCTTAATTCCTGCCAAATATTCCACCTATGAAGCATGTTTTTATAGGTTCAATCAAGGTTATTCTTGAGTCAGAGACGGGTGTGCCAGCAGCCAATCAGGAGCTTAGAGGTTGGGTTAACAAGAATGATGCACCTCCACAAGATACTGTAAGCATACAACACCATTCTGCCAATGTCTTAGGCACTGCACAACAAAGCGATCAGCTATATATATCAAGAATTGTAAAAATACAAGAATTGTAAAATCCCATAAAGGCAATATATATAGTTTATCTAGGGGGAGGGGCTTAGGGATAAACGAGTAGTCAATATTAAACATACTGTACATTTAATTAGTAAGGAATTCAAGAAATACTCATGTAATGATAATTAGGGCAATTGACTCTTAAGATAACTGTGAAATTATATTAGCACATTGATAAAAATCCAATATCTAAGACATGTGACCCATTCAAAAAATGTTCTATTCACTTATTTAAATTACTAAGGAGTAGATGAATCATGCATTACATGTATATATATCTGTTAGTATCCTGTAATTCTATTTTATTTCTGCATATTTTAGACGCTATTACGAGACTTGCATCTTCCAAAAGAAAACATTTTGTTTCTGCTTTCTCCTGGAATACCACTTTCCACATCATGTGGCGCAAGTTCCTCACATTCAGATGAGTAAGTAATCAAAGTTTTATATAGAAAATATTCTGTCATGTGAACTATATTTTGGTAATTCCATTACCAGACTGTAAGAAATGTATGTATCATTTAGGATGTGGCATAAGCATCAGCCCAAAGGTCCAGTTACTTGTGATCTGGACAAGCTCATTTTATCAGCATGCATAGGACAATAAAATGGCAAATGATCCATAATTCACATTGGACCAAAAGGTCTGTCATCATAAGGTGCACCTTGCACTGAATTAGTTATTTGAAACGTTTCAACTTCTATTTGAAAAATGGTGGGGAATTTGAATATCTGAAAAACAAAAAAACAAAAACTCTTTTTTCAAAGATTTTATTTTTTCAAAACTCTCTAAAATAGTCATTACAAATAGTAAATAAAATATGAATGATAGAAATATATTTTCAAACTATACATAGGGCCTTTAGTACATTGTCAGACAATACTTTACTTTGTTGCAAAATATAAATATATGAGATGAAGAAATTGCTAATACAGTAGATTTGATACATGCCCTTTTCTTTTTTTTCAGAACAGATATTATTGACAGACTCACCAAAAACTTTACATTAAAAATAACTTTCAAAGATAAGAATGAGACCTATAGTCTACAATTTCCTGGTACTAAAACCATAAGGGAGGTATGTAAAACTTAATATTAAGTAATATTAATAGCCACTCTTGATCATATGCCCTGTGATGTCTGTTAATCCGTCAATATGGTACGACGAAAATCAGACTTTTCCGCATGTTGATTTTTTGAAGTGAGTTTCGAAGATCGTCAGATTTCTCCGACTGATATCGGGTTATCTCAAATTGGTTCATTTATAAATACGAATTTCTTTACTCTTGTAAGACGCATGCGCAAAATTGATTTATAAACGTGATTGGTTGATGATTTTCTCCTGAGCATGCGCAAAGTATGATGAACACTTATGATGAAGACATGTAGAGCATTACTAGCTCTCGAACGAAATCCCAAGATTCAGATCATTTTGCTATGTTTGCTAAGCGTGTATACGTGAATGACAAGCTGTTTTGAGTAGATCAGGTATTTGTTTTAGACACAACATTGATTTAGCTTGACATTGAGGTGCACATTCACACTTTTGAGCATGTTAATACAAGTTTTTACATCCTTAGCAGGAGACGGGTTTTCGAAAAATCTGTTATCTAATTCACTCGATTATCGTATGGATATGTATTTCTGCTGACATTTTAACACCACATTATATAGAATTACGATGCAGAATGATAATAAAACACAAAACAACTACTAAATTCCACTTGTTATTTCACAGGAGGTAAAAATGCACACTGCCTAGATTTTTTGTAAGTGTTTTCAGACTTCGGATTGGCCGCCATATTTGAAATGAAAATATCACTAAATAGAGCTTTGCGCATGTCATAGCAGATCGACTGTAATACAGTGTAACAGATATTCTATGACTGTTAAAAGATATGATCAGTATGTTTGAAAACTAGTAATAGATTTGAGCTCAAACTTGGATAATCATTGCCTTCAAATACTCTAAGATATGCTTTTCATTAAATTCTACCATCTGAAAAGCAGGCTTCTCTTTAGATTACATACTGATATAAAACATAAGAAAATCCCCTTTTCAAAAGTCAAAAGGAAAACGTTTTTTCCAAGTGTAGATTCATATTCTAGCAGATAACAAGATTGATAACACATGTATGTAGTATTTCATTTATTAATAAACTTGAGGTGACCTACCTTATTGACTGCTCTGTTTTTTTGTTTTTTTTTGTTTTTTTAAAATCTAGGAACACTGCATTATATTATTGACTGCTCTGTTGATTGCAGGTGAAATGTGATGTTTACTCATTGATAGATGTACCAGTAAGGAACCAGGTGTGGACAGGTTGGCCTGAGACTGATGATGAGGCAAGTATATACAAAAGAGTTCTCTACATTTCTACATTTTTTTAAAATCTGCAATTGAAAAAATTGATTAGAATTTATGAGTGGAGACTTGAGTAAAAAATCTCAGATACAAATATATATGTTCGATCATTCATCAGCTTGCTTTTTGATTAGAATTTATGAGTGGAGACTTGAGTAAAAAATCTCAGATACAAATATATATGTTTGATCATTCATCAGCTTGCTTTTTGATTAGAATTTTTGAGTGGAGACTTGAGTAAAAAATCTCAGATACAAATATATATGTTCGATCATTCATCAGCTTGCTTTTTGATTAGAATTTATGAGTGGAGACTTGAGTAAAAAATCTCAGATACAAATATATATGTTTGATCATTCATCAGCTTGCTTTTTGATTAGAATTTATGAGTGGAGACTTGAGTAAAAAATCTCAGATACAAATATATATGTTTGATCATTCACCAGCTTGCTTTTTGATTAGGATTTTTGAGTGGAGACTTGAGTAAAAAATCTCAGATACAAATATATATGTTTGATCATTCATCAGCTTGCTTTTTGATTAGAATTTTTGAGTGGAGACTTGAGTAAAAAATCTCAGATACAAATATATATGTTTGATCATTCATCAGCTTGCTTTTTGATTGGAATTTATGAGTGGAGACTTGAGTAAAAATCTCAGATACAAATATATATGTTCGATCATTCATCAGCTTGCTTTTTGATTAGAATTTATGAGTGGAGACTTGAGTACAAAATCTCAGATACAAATATATAGGTTCGATCATTCATCAGTTTGCTTCAATACAATGTTCTAGAGAATTGCAGCTGTGATGTATATAGTGCTTGGCTATAGTAGTGTCACATTTCACACTGATTTGCATGTATGGTAACATATAATTATATGATTATTTCAGATGACATTAGCTGGTTCTAGAATTACTTATCCCTCACATTGTTTAGAGGTCAGCAATAGAGACAACGCCAGGCCTCAATATTCAGCAGCTGTAAGTCTATTTAAGGAATAAAGTTGGTCAGGTTTGAATATGTTTGATCAGACCAGCTGATTATCTATACTAAGTGAAACATACATGTGTTCGTCATATTTCTTGAGAGATTGATATCTGTTACAAATAAATAAGATGAAATATCACAATTATCATTTTCAAAGGAACTTTATAATTCAACTCATATTAAGGTTAAATATAATCTGAACTGCTTGAATCAATAATTTTTTGCAGAATGCAGACAGCCCTCGTGAACTTTTGTGTATCATATCTAAGCTCACTCAGATATGGAAAGCATATGTGAAATGTTGCTTACTCGTTGATTTATGAATTGAAATCATTTAGGCCTATCAAACATTAACAGACAGTGAAACAAACAATTAATTGATTAATCAATTTTATCAGATATCTACCAAATTAATTCATCAATTAACAAATGCTGATCCAAACCATTTATATGGATCCACATTAGAAACCTCTAAATGGACTTACTTGTAAAACAAATTGAACTTGTGATTCCAGGAAGTATTAAACTCTATAGAAATGGTCAGCGATGACAGTGACACTCAAGACCAAGAAGATATGTGTATGCCCAGTGATGAGGAAATATTTAACAATGATAATGGACATTCTAGTAGTAGTAGATCTGTGAGGGACCCTCTCATTCCTCCTGGTTGTCTGGATGAGGTGACAGCCCTCGAGAGCTTCAATAGTGTCTTTGCGTCACGATATGGGGACCCCCACCCTCTCTTTTACATGGGTGATCTGGATAGTGCCATAAAAGATGCCTTAATGTGCAGTGCAAGAAATGTGAGTTAAGTTCAAATTCATAAGTAATCAAAAACACTTGAGTATTGTATATGAGAGTGATACAAAATGCACAAAAGAATAATATATGTTTAACTTCATGTACCTCCCTTTTACGATTCAGACAAATTTTCAGAAAACAGACCAACATTTTTAATGCTCATTCATTCATTCTGTTCTTGTTGTAATTTGAATTCAAATGACAATGGAAATCATAAGACATCTTCTATGCTTACCTTTGTACATTCCTACCTTGTACATATTATGTCTGACTCACATTTCAGAGAAAGCTGCTTGCTGTGTATTTGCACCATGACAGTAGTATATTGGCCAATGTCTTCTGTTCACAAGTCTTATGTGCTGAATCAATAGTGGATTATTTAAGTACAAACTTTATATGCTGGGCATGGGATCTCACTGATGATACGAATAGAGCACAGTATGTTACTTTTAATTTGTTTGTTATAACTGCAATTAATGCTTAGGTGAATCAGTTGTGCTTCACTCGCATAGCCCCCCTGCACCTGTGTAAACAGTATTTAAGTTATATTAGGGTTAATCAAAATAGGACTAATGAAAAACAAGAACACAATATGTTTTTAGCAGGTGTTCACATTTCAATTTCGAATAGTCGCAGCCTTTTAAGATTTGAATCGATTCTAAATTCCAGAAAGAATGACTTATTCCACTTGTTTCATATTAGTTCTGTATACAACTATGGTTTGGATCATAGAGCAGTAATTTAAATTTTACAAAATATCCAATAATTGAATTGTTGTCTTGTTTCAGTTTGTTAGGAATGGTCACGAAACACTTTGGTACAATAGCTGCATCCACTGTAAGGGATTTCAAGATTGATCAACTCCCTGTTCTGCTTATTATTACTAGGACTAATTCTAGGTAAGGATTTTCATCATGATTAATCTCAAAATGTATCCATCCAAGATATGTTTTATTTTGATCAAGAGGTGTGAGGGGAAAAGGATATTTATTACCAAGAGGTCTGTTTTAGGTGTGATAGTTTCCTACAACTCCATTGTTTAGTAATTAATTAGATGAATTTATGACTATGATATTTAATGTCGATTACAAATAATTATATTATATATATTAATTATATATAATTATAATTATTTTATTCACATTTAAATATGTTCCTTTTGACAATCATTTTCTATTACTCTTTTGTTTTTGTATCCTAGGTATGAGGTTTTCACAGCTGTTAGGGGAAGTTCCATGTTAGATGAGGTCATGACTAGTCTTATGAATGCAGTGGAGGTATTTTCTACCCAGCAGGAAGGAGAGATAGCAGAGGAGGTGGGTGCCTAACTTCTCATTGTATCTTACATTTCTGCAGGTTGTTGAGAAATATTGCGTGTACAAACACAATGTTAACTATTTGTTTTTATGAACAGGCTTCTCCTGACTTGGGACACATGTATAAAGCAGTGCTGAAAATGAATGTAACATACTCTGGGGATTATATTTATAGCTGGCAATTTTCAATGAAATATCAATGACTTATTACTTCAGGCTGAACGTGATGCACGTGAGCAGATAAAGAGAGACCAGGATGAAGCTTATCAGATGTCATTGGCTGCTGACAGGTCTAAGGTAAACTCAAACAATATAATTACATGTACTTGTGTACTGTAGTCTTACTGACAGTCACAGGTTTAAGGTTCAAATGGAAGTGTATTGGGCAGAGCCATTGTACCAATATTTTTTGGAGAAACCAATTAATCAAAGGTGAAGACCTGTCTTCTGTTTTTTAAATCAAGGCTAAAACTCTAATAGTTAGATTTGTAAATTGTAAATGGAAGTAAAATGATGGATAAAAACTTTAAAATTATTTCTGACTGCAGGCTGAGTCTAAGAGGGAAGAAGAGGAGATTGAAAAACAGAAGGAGCTTGAAGATAGGATACAGAGAGATGCGGAGGATAGGAGGGCTAGAGAAGAGGAAATGGAGAAACAGGTTCAAAAATATATCTTGGAATATTATCTTGTTTTAATTTTCACTTTAGAACACAATTTGGTTTGCATTCATCAATTTGAAATTATGTCATAAAAAGGATCTGCAAATATGAATACATCCATAAAAAATAATTGATTTCCATATTATTTATTCATTCAATAAAAATAAGGTACCATAATCTCTATTGCTTGTTAAAAGTGTGCTAACACAGCAATTAATTTGGTTTAACCGCCATTAATTTGGTTTAACCGCCATTAATTTGGTTTAACAGCCATTAATTGGTTTAACCATCATTCATTCAATCCTGATGCAGAATTCAGTTTTGACCAGTAGGTCTGAAGAACTAAGGATGCTTTCTGACATCTTTAAATTCTAATTTCAGGCCATCCAAAAGTCTTTAGCAGATATGTTACCAGATGAACCACCCACAGATTGTAAAGAACCAGTCAGCATGTTGAGACTGAGATGCCCCAAAGGGGAGACTATTGTTCGTAGATTCCTTGCCTCAACTGCACTACATGTGCTTCTGAAGTTTATTGTGACTAAAGGTTTTCACCTAGAAGATTACAAGGTGCTCACAACATATCCCAGGAGAGATGTGAGTAGTAGTGCTACTGCTAATATAAGGGACTGGCTCAAAAAGTCAATGCTTGTTTTGGTGAAACTAATGTGACAAAGGCTCAGATTCAGCCCTCCGTCCATCCATTCATCCGTCTGTCCATCCAATCATCAGTCCTTATTTTTGTTCATCCAGAAAATAAATCAAATATTGATTCCCTGATTTTCCTCATATCTATAACTCATATTTTCAATGTGGCCTTTCATAGATAATTTGTTTGTTGGGATTTGCTTCTCCATGGAGTTGCTGTTTCCTAAAACTTTATAAATCCCACTCAATGTTGTTCTTGAACAAATGTCTTGAACAAATCTAATGCTCTTTACTCCCCTAGTACCTATCATAGTTTGTTTTGTGAAAAAGTGACATTGACGGTTGAGCCAGCCCCTTAATTTCATTCTTGATGTCTAAAAAATCATAGTGTTAAATGCCTAGCATAATGAAGTACTATTTATTAAAATTATTTAACATCATATTCATCTAAAGGAGTTGGGATCAGAGAGCAGGACTGAAACAGCATCATTACATTTTGATCTTCTTTGGACATTAAACATGTTCTAAGGCCCTGTTTCACTCATGCTGCCTTGATTGATGAATAATACATAGATAAACCTATTTTCTGTTTTTCAGTTAACCACCCTGGATGAGAATATGTCATTACATGATCACAAACTGTTTCCACAAGAGACTTTAATTCTGGAGGAGAGATAACCAAGCATGCAATATTTATTCAATAATTTCACTTTGAGTTCTACCTACACTTTGAAACAGATTCTCATTTATTCAAACTTGTGAATTTGAGCCAATTTTTATGGTATGGTTGAGTTGTAGTGACATTGTTTAGTTCCCAATATTGTGCAGCTATATAGAATCATGAAGCATATACATGGCAATATCTATCGTCAGAAATCATTATTATGTCCTGTTATATCTTTAATTTTTCACTCCTCTTATTAAAAACTAAGTTTAATTTCATTTTCATGTATATTTTACAGCAAAAGGGGTTGCTATATTGAAATATATAATAAGTTATTTATCATACATTATTATTTTGAACTGATCATAGAACATTATAGCTAAGTAAAAATGTCTTGAAGTGTTGGTAGAATTCTCAGTATAACTGTACAAATGAACTGTCAATTGTGTATATACATGTATATAGGAACTACATTGTAATATGTGGACTGTAGCCATAAACATTTTGAAAGTGCATGTGGACACATTTGGACAACAGATAACAAGAAATCAATACCTCACAGGTATTTTCTGCTCCCTAAACATAGTTCTGCATTTCTGCATTTGGTCTTGATTTGACTTTGGTGGATCTGCAAAATTGATGCTAACATTCACTAACATTGGATTCACTGTAATTGTAATACCATATTGAGAATCTAGGATTGATGCATATTGTATCGTTACAGCTAAATACTCAATATGGTTTATAGTAAGTACATGTGCATAAGGAACATCCTCTCTAGTGATCAAGATTCTTGTTGACAAGACTTCCTTACAGTGAGGGTTCTTTATTATGTAAGACTGTAAGTTAAATAAATGTGACTTGGTTATTTCTCTCCAATGAAACAGCTACAGCAGTTTGGCCTATTTGTAATGTCACAACAAGATAAAATCCATCCGGTGATCGCAAATCATCAATTGAAAAGCTTTGCTGAATATTGTTTTGTAAAATATACCATTTTTGCAATATTCAGTGCCAAAGAGATGTTGAATCACTGGCGGATCCAGGGGGCCCAGGCCCTTGTTAGCTTCTGGATCCGCCAGTGTGAATTATAGGCACTCTCCATATTTTCGGCTATTTTGTTGAACAAAATGGAAATTTTACAAAAAATGCTCGTGTTTGCAGTTCCATTAAACTCATTTTCCAATTTATTAAAATGTTTCATTAAGATTAAGATTAATAACAGAATCACATCAATTTTTACAGGCATAAAAATATTTTTTATTTAAAGAACTTCTGTAAATGAAAATTCCCTCTGAAGAAAGGCAAATTCATCCCTCATATTATCTGTTATGAATGAATCAAATACATGTATTGCCACTTTAACAGTTTAAGTATTCTGTTTGCAATAAGCCTCAATTGAACTTTCAAAAAACTTATCAGATCATTGTCAGAATGCATTTGTCATTCTTATACTGTATATTGGTGCATTGTCAAATCTGATTCATTGGATCATTAGATTTGTGTTTGTAATATCTTGTCTTGTTTTTATGAGAAAATGTATTTATTGTCCAAAATATACATGCATATTATTAAAAACTTATTTGTTTATTTGTAATATTCGGATTTTTCATATTTGACAAAGAAGCAATGCATTGAGTTTAGAATTAATAATCTATATCATGATATTTATGAACTGCGACTTGCTGAACTACAGTCCAGCACCAAAAATGGAGGAATATTTGGTCATCTATGTCTGTCCAGAAAACAGATATATTTTATATGTTAATATAGTGTCCATTCAGTGACGAACAGATTACTCTATATCCATTGTTCATTGAATGGAAATTACCATTAGTGATTTAGTTGACCCAGTAGCAGAATTTGATTCTCACTTTTAAAGCTGTTCAGGTAATTTGACTTTGTATACATTTGAATCATATGGATGTCAAGTTATTTCTTTGTCACCAAAAGAACACTATTTTTAACATGTACAATATCTGGATTTGTCAGTTTTCTCATAAACTTGATGCCATCTAGAAGAATTGGAGTTTCCCCAGTACAGAGTGGACTAATAAAAATGGCCCTACTAAGCAATTACTACAAATTACATAATATGTATTTGACACCATTGGAAAGAAAGATTCAATTTCCAATTAACAATGATGTGAATACCTTTTAAGTGACTTGTAATCTGACACAGGTAAATATAGCAGGTCACCCATCATCATTTTTATCAAAATATGTGACTTAAAATATTTTTGAAAAAAATGTGATGCAACATTTGGCACTTATTCATATTATAACTGATTTACATTGTGATGTAATTGTTCTTGGTTTCATGAAGTTTTGTTTATGAAGGAAACTGATAGAAAATATGCCCTGGCCCATTATACTGGAAAAACATACACATCATAGGTCATCCAGATGATGAACCATCCTTAGTGTATTTTTTAAAATGTGTATCTTTCAAATGTGTTCCTAAGAATAAGACACCACGATATAGGCATTATGTCTCTCATGCAGCGGACTAACCAATGTACCACAGAGATTTATTAATTGAAATCATCTATAAATCATCATCGATAATAAGAAAAGAACAAAATTTGGTTTTAGAATGAAGTAAAACATCTTTGATTTTCCTCTAGATTGTCTCAGAAAACCAAGGAGAGACAAGCTGAAAGTTGGTTTCAGAAATTGTAACAGTTTCATTTACTGTCATCATTCAATTGACCTTTTGCGATCAGAATTCAGGAATTTTGTTTATGGATACTGTTGTCACGTATTTCGTCTTATTGGTATGACGTCATATAGAAATGATATTAGACATGATGGAATCATGAAATGGCGGACACGTGGCAGTTTTGAGCTAAAAATATTGTCGTTTCTTATATAAAAACCATGGGTCGGATATTTACCAGGTATGCCTATTTGACTAGATCATGAGTTTGTCTATATATATGCGAAGTTTGGGTGAAATTCATACTAAACATCGATGCCTATAAGCGCCCCCCGTTTTTGTCAAAATCGGGGGGCGCTAAACCGCTATCTAAATCATGTCAGTAAGACCTTAGACTTGGTATGTGCTTAGCATGAATGTTGATCTAGTCAAATAGAACGCTTTCGTGAAAAATAAATCAATAAAGCACGAAATATAGAAGATAATCTCTCAAAATCAAGCATCTATAGCTGGGTGACCTAATTGTGACGTCACTAAAAGACAGAATCCATTCGGTGATTGCAAATCATCAATTGCATGCCTTCTATCATTTTACATAATACATATCCCTTTTTCTTAATTCAATATTTGTCACTTTGAAGTTATTATTGTGATTTTGAGCCGTGCTGTGCTCACTTTTAAGGAGAAATTCCTTTGAGGGCATTATTAGGACACACATGCCCTACTAGACATTACATCAGATGTTTTCTGAATTTTAAAAACGAAGCAAAAACATCGACATCAGTTTGAGAATATTTGAATCAATGTCCTGTGCCTGGATAGATACTGTGGCATTTTTACACGGGTAGTAAGTGTTTGAACATTTCTTATTCATGAGAATAAATCAGAAAGCCCTTTCCAATGCAAACCATACAGTCATAGCACAAATGGTGGGAAGTTCTCCATAATACTTATAAGGGTCATATACTGGGAGGTTTTGGAACAGTGAACAGAATTTCCTTCATATTATTATTTAAAACTACAAGATTAATTACTTATTGTATTGAACTTCCAACTACCGTGGGTCCCAAGGTAAATTTGTATCTCCCTAACATATTTTCTGAGGGATAAACACTGCATCCAAAACCCATCATAATTAGGAACGCTACCGGGATGGATACAGCCTGTATAAATGCTGTAGTCGATCATTCGTCATGTTGAAAAGCACGAACAAACCCTAGATATTCACAAAGTGCGTTCGTAAATCTGATGCATCTTCACGTTCGTATTATTACCGCAGTCCGTGTGTACAAAAATGCCAAGCAGAATATTTACAGGATTTAGAGCTTTAGGGTACAATAGTACCCATGTTCCTTTAGTTGTTAGACATCATAAGAAACGTGAAGAAAACTACGTAGTAACATCGGTGGGGAAAGCCTTCCACGTTTACAACGTAAGCATATTAGATCTAGAATTTTTAAATATTTTCGTGGGCGATAATTGAGTAAATTTCCAGCATGTTTTGATTTCACTTTGCATATATCACAAGCTACAATAGACGCTAACCTTTATTGTTTGACTGTATAGAGAGACTGATTAGGTCTAAAATCATACACACTGGGTTGTTGACATAGTTTCTATTTTGACAATGATTTTCTTCGTCAATCAAATCTCACAGAAACCTGTATCAACTAGTGTTGTCGCGATGTGCCATAATCGTACATCGATGCATCGGCAATTTTCAGTAGTAAACATCGATGCACATCGCGATGTACATCGAGAAAAAGTCTGAGAAAAGTGCACTGAAATACCGAACGCTAATGCACTAAAATACAGAACGCTGGTTCATCCGGGAACTTCTAGTAACGGTGAAATGAAAGTAAAGTAAATTTTTAGATTAAGGACAGGGTGCATGTTGGGAAATTTTCTGCATTCCTCAATTGAGTCACATGTTATTTTTCAAACAAAATTAACTCCTTCCCCACATTGTCTACATCTTCCAGGTTTGCACAAAGAGTGCACTTATGTGCCTAGAAAAGCCTTGTGAGAAGATTTGTTTTGTAAAATGTATAAAAAACGAGAAAATTCAGTGAAAAAAATTTCTGAAAATTTTCTGAATTTTTTCACTGAATTTTCTTGTTTTTTATACACTTTATCAAAACATTCTTCTCACAAGTCTTTTCTAGGCACATAAGAGCACTCTTTGTGCAAACCTGGAAGATATAGACCCTCTGGGGAAGGAGTGATTCTTGTTTGAAAAATAACATGTGTCTCAATTGAGGAATGCAGAAAATTTCCCATCATGCACCCTGACCTTAATGGTTCATTTCGATTAGCTAAAACAGTTTTAAAGCGAAATAATATCAGAAAACATTGGGAAATGAAATAAGACATGAGAAAGTTAAGGACAGGGTGCATGTTGGGAAATTTTCTGCATTCCTCAATTGAGTCACATGTTATTTTTCAAACATGAATAACTCCTTCCCCACATTGTCTACATCTTCCAAGTTTGCACAAAGAGTGCACTTCTGTGCCTAGAAAAGCCTTGTGAGAAGGTTTGTTTTGTAAAATGTATAAAAAATGAGAAAATTCAGTGAAAAAAATTTCTGAAAATTTTCTGATTTTTTTCACTGAATTTTCTTGTTTTTTATACACTTCATCAAAACAATCTTCTCACAAGTCCTTTCTAGGCACAGAAGTGCACTCTTTGTGCAAAACTGGAAGATATAGACAATGAAGGGAAGGAGTGATTCTTGTTTGAAAAATAACATGTGACTCAATTGAGGAATGCAGAAAATTTCCCATCATGCACCCTGACCTTAAGCGATTTGCGTCAAAATAAGATAAGAAAGGGTGATTTTTAGCAAATGAATTTTTTTTAAAAACATCGATGTTTTGTTTTAGACATCGATGCATCGCCAGAATCAGCTTTGGCGATGTATATCGCGATGTATCGATTAATGTGCCATAATCGTACATCGATGCATCGGCAATTTTCAGTAGTAAACATCGATGCACATCGCGATGTACATCGAAAAAAGGTCTGAGAAAAGTGCAGTGAAATACTTAGGAGGACTGCTTCTATGCGTTCTATGTCACATAAAATGTATCTGATAATTAATTTATCACTTTGTATTTTTATTTTACAGTGTTCAAAGTTGGGAATAGTCAACATAAGTAAGTTTTTCTTTCTTCCTTGCCATCTGCTCTATTGGAATCATTCGGACTTTCAGATAAATCTGTGTACAAAATGTACAAAACAATTTAATCATCTTCCTTGTCAGGCCTATATGTCACAAACTATAAAAAGCTACAACTAATTTGATCATTTCTGTTCTTTTATAAATAGTATTTTGTCAGTCAAAAATGTGATTGAAAAATTAAAAACAAATTAGATATGTGCAGAAATTCCAGTTTAAACATTCTGTTCACTTTCTAGATGTCTTTTTCAGGCAACTTGCATCCAGATGAAATCAACTGTTTAGCTGTAGATGCCTACTTGACATTCACAGCTTGTCAGAATGTCATAAGAGCTTACAAACATGGCACACAGGTATGTAGGAATCGCTTATTAATTGTTGACAACTAGTAGATATAGCTTTCTGTTGTAATATGAGAAGTCACCCTTTTCTTGACCCTATTAAAACTCCTATTGTGATGACCCTGGGGTAATAGTTAAATAATAACAATCAATGGGGAAGTTTAACTAAAAACAAAATCAGGGCCGTCAGTTAATGGGGGAAAAGTAAACAAATAACAATTGGTAGCGTGACAAGTAAATGTGGGGGCAAATGAAAAAGATACAACAACAATGAATGGTAGTGTGGAAATTTGGAAAGTAAATTGGAATAAGCGTAATTTAAATCAATGGTAGCGTGGAAGTTAAAATAGTTAAATTAAAGTGAATGTTCAATTTATATGAAAGGGCACTAAAGTGTATAATATGAAATGAATTAAGAAACAAATAGATTAAAGTTTAATAAATCTATTGTAATTAAAATAATACTCAAAAATACTAGTACAAATACAATATTACAAAAACACACCAGAATACATTAAGTGGCTTACCCATACTGTCGTTCCCTTTGTTCAATGATATCCAACATGTTTTAGCTTATGTCTAAAAATGTGAAGAAACCAAGTGTTCCTGTCAAGGTCTGGTGTAAAAGTGCCTCTTGACCAAAGGAAACAGACAGTTTATGTTCTAAAAGTTCCCAAATTACCATATTATTGTACCGCACCTGGCCCTGGGACCAGGCACTGAACAAAGGGATGATTCTTACAGCTAAGGGATTATCTAAGAAAGCCAGACTGTGACTAATTGTCTATTCAAAAAGTTTGAATAGAGTTCACTTGGTTCAGACTAAAGCTCTGCTATAGCAGCAGCATAAAGACTGCACTGAATGAACAGGTCAAAGGGTCACAAAGTACAATGCAAAACTTTATGAAGGAAAAAATGTGAAACGAAAATGTAACTTTAAATATTAAAACATGGAAATGCTATAATTAAAACTAAATATAATACATTGATATTAAGAAGGATTTAACACGATGACCAGTGATCAGAAAACAAAGGTATACCACCTTTGATCACGGGTCATCACATCACTCCCCCTTTAAAAACAGGTTCGACCCGAACCTCGATAAAAACAAACTATAGTTCATAAGTCTATGAGCTGTTAACTTAGATAACAAAATGTTCACGTTATTTAAAGTCCACAGGATAGATATCCAAGAAGATACTAAATGTTCATGGTTCTCCATTTAATTGTAACATGGAGTACACCATCTTGCAGTTGCTCATCTTTAGCTAGATTTGTCATGGAGTTGTTCCAGGCATATATAATCTGGTACCACCAAGTGTCCCAAGTTTCACCCACTGTTGATTCCTCTAGCCATCTTCAGGTTTTGTTGGATTTGTTGGTCGGACAAACTTCTTCATCACAGCAGAGGTAGTCATGTCCTTCTCGGTTCACACGGTTCACAGAGACAAGGTTCACAGGATTCCACTACTGGATGGGCATGATGAGTGACACAAAGCAATCTCTATGAAATTACGGGAAAATTCAATAGAGTTTGTCATGGACGGGTTCTTGTCCATGGTGTCACTCATTCCCAGTGGGGAAAACGTTCCATCCACCAACAATTCGATCCACCTCAGGAATCAATTTCAGTAACCAGGTAGCGAGTAGTTTTCCAACTTTCCAAGGGTCAGGGGGCAAATTCATTTAAATTTCTCCCAGAACAATGTTGGCGCAAATCAGGGTCAAGTTCCTCAAATTGATGGACAAATGACTGGGGACTAAAGCTTCCTGGGTATCAAAACTGGCAGTTTTGGGCACACAACAGGGCCAAATACAAAACCAGCTATCCATTTTCACAGTTGGGTCATGTTCATTTCAAAAGGGTCAGAAGTGCCTGTAGACCAAGGCATATCGGGACAATAATCAGATTACACGGTTCCAGGACTAACAATTCAAACAGATGGGGTCATTGTCACATCAATGTCAATGCTGAGATGATTTATAACAGGCTTTCCTTGGGTTCCTCGAGCTCATCAGTTGGGCTGCTGAGAGGGAGTATATATCCAAGTGCAACCTAGGGGTCACAATTATGGCAGTCAACACTTGGGAACAAGGACAATAGGGGGAGCTGGAGGCTTCTTGATGGGTTTGGCATCTCCGGGGTCAAGTTCATGGTCAGGGAAACAGTTTAAATTAGTAACATTTTCAAATGACAAACAGTCAACTTTCCCATGTTCAGGAAGCAAATCACTCCCTTCAGCAATAACACTGAGGCAAATCGGGTCACGGTCCTCCTCTACAGGACAAGATAAACGACTGGGGACAACAGGGTCCCTAAATAGCAGTTCAGGGCAAATAACAGGGTCAACCTGGTCAAGAGTCAACGGAGTTGCTTTCTGCAACTCATTCAAGTGTTTGGCGACCATTATATCAACAAAATCATCGCTGCTATCAGTCAGGGGAACATCAGCCTCAAGGGTTTTACAAGGGTTTGGACATGGGGGAATAGAATCAACTTCACACTGTTTCTTTGACAAATCCTCTCGGGCAGGGGGCAAAAGGTCATGGATCTGCTCACCAGATGCAATGGGCATACTTTTATATAACGTCACAGGCTGGGGGCAATTGTAGCCACTTTGGATTTTAAAACTGGCGGGCCTTTGTGGCTGGGATGCTGAATCGAGGCCCACCGACTCAGCACATTCTAGTTTCCCGAATAAGTTGGGGAATGGGCCTTCAGGGCAGGGCAGTCATACATCACATGGCCATCAACACCACATTTGAAGCAAACTCGGGCTCCAGTGACCTTGGAATTTGGATGTCTGTGAAGACAATCAAATATGCTGTGCTCCCGAGTATCACATAGTTTACAATACTGGGCACGTGTGGGCTTGGACGTGGGCCGTCGGTCAACCTTCTCCTTCAGGGCCTGGGCAATGGATTGGTGAAGAGCCTCCATTTGTTTTTCCATCATCTTAGAAAACTGGGAAATCAAACTCACTGGGGATTCAGATGAAGGGCTTTGGACATGGGCCTCAGTTGCTCGAAGTTCAGGATCATGAGTCGCTTGCAAACGTTTCTTGCGACCTTTGAAAAAGGATTCGTATTGCAGGGCCATGGTAAGGGCCTGATTGAGAGAAGTGGGCTTGGCGAATGAAAGTTTTGCCTCAAGATCCACATCATTTAAGGCGTCAATGAAAGCCTGCATTGCTTGATTCTCAATACCAGACTTGGGCATACCCAGGCCACCATATGCCTTGCGGGCAAGTTTTCTAACCTCATGGGCTAACTTCTCAAGGGGTTCATCAGGGCCTCGGAGTCTATTTTTCAAAAGGGCTCGGGCATTGTCACTTTGTTGAGGAGGCTCATAATTCATCTGCAGGGCATTGATGATAGAGTCAAGGTCAGGGTTAACCCCTTCTTCTATATCATCGAGAACATTGGCTGCCTCACCATCATGACTTCGGACTAAATAGATCGCAGCCTCATCACTATCCCAACCATTATTTTGGGAGACTAATCGGAATTGGATCAAAAATGCTGACAAGCTACATTTTCCATCGAATTTGGGGGCCCTCATTTCCCGTTTCTTATTGTAGACTGGTTTTGGACTTTGGAATTTTGACTCACTCCCTCCTGAAGAACTATTATCACACCATTTGGGAAGGTCAGTGGAACGTTTCTTGTATTTCTTTGTCTGCAATAGTGAATCGACCTTACTCAAGGGATCCCTGGGGGCAAAAGACATCTGTTCAAATGGATCAGAATGGGCTGTTTCATACCCCATTGAAATTGATTGGGAAGGCACTTGGTTATGGGATTCCTGCCTCTTTGTGTGCGGAGAAACGGGGGAATGGTGATAGCAGGGCATAGGACTAGACTTAAGATGCCCCTTCGATCTGGGACTCATACTGGATCTGGGACTCATACTGGATCTGGACTGTTGATCAGATACCCATGACATGGTATCGGATTCCCTCCCAGTATATCTTGAACATAGGGGAGCTCCAGAGAACTCACCCCTTGCATATTCCCTCCCAGTATGCATTGGGCTGAGGGAAGCTCCGGAGAGCTCACTCTGGATTTTTCCCCAAAAAGAGTGCCTTGGGCTTAGGGGAGCTTCAGAGAGCTCACCCCTGAGATATTTATCCCCATGATGCAATGGACTAAGGGGAACTCGTGAGAGCTCGCCCCTTGCATGTTCCCTCCCCGTGTGCCTAAGATGCAGAGGAGCTCCATGGAACTCTCTCCTTGAATATGTTTCCCCATGAGGCAATGGGCTTGGGGGAGCTCGGGAAAGCTCACTCCTTGGGAATTCCCCAACAGAGTGCCTTTGCATAGGGGGAACTCTAGAGAGCTCACCCCTGGCGTTGTCTTTCCAAGGGTATAATGGGCTTGGGGGAGCTTGGAAGAGCTCACACCTTGCAAATTCCCCAAAAGAGTGCCCTTGGATAGAAGGAGCTCTCATGAGCTCACCACTGGCATTGTTTTCCCAAGGGTAAAATGGGCTTGGGGGAGCTCGGGAAAGCTCACCCCTTGGAAATTCCCAAACAGAGTGCCTTTGGCTAGGAGGAGCTATAGAGAGCTCACCCCTGGCGTTGTTTTCCCAAGGATAAAATTGGCTTGGGGGAGCTCGGGAAAGCTCACCCCTGGAATGTATTTCCCCACGATGTAATGGGCTTGGGGGAGCTCGGGAAAGCTCACCCCTTGCAAATTCCCCGACAGAGTGCCTCTGGCTAGAGGGAGCTCTAGAGAGCTCACCCCTGGCGTTGTCTTCCCCAGGGTATAATGAGCTTGGGGGAGCTCGGGAAAGCTCACCCCTGGAATGTATTTCCCCACGATGTAATGGGCTTGGGGGAGCTCGGGAAAGCTCACCCCTTGCATAGTCCCTCCCAGGCTTAGTCAGCGTTGAAGGAGGAGCTTGGGAAGGCTCTCTCCATGCTGAATTTTCCCAAGCAGGCTTAGAGAAAGGATTATACCCTGAATGAATAGGGGGGCAATAATTTGAAGGACTTTGCAAAAGCGTTTGATCGGGTTCAATTTTAAAGTTTTTCATATAGCCACAAGGTGAGGCAGATCTTGGTGGCTTTGGCGATACACCAGGCATCGAACGTTGGGCTTTGCGCTCAGAGTGCCTGGAAGTATCTGGTAAGGGTAAAGTGTCTGCCATGGCAAATTTCATGTCCTGGTCATCAAGGGCACGATGACCTGGGACAATTTCAGGGTCATCAAATGAACAGTATGACCTAGACATGGGCAATGGGGCTTGTTGGGCAGCAGAGGAAATACTCATAGTGACTGTTTTGTAATTGGGCATGTATTTGTACTGAAAATTGGTAATGTTAGTAACAAACAAACAAAGCTAAAAGTTCACACTAAATAAAAATAAGTTTGAGGCATGTGTCAACACTTTCAAAGTATTATATACCACCACTAGGCACCATTTGTGAGGACCCTGGGGTAATAGTTAAATAATAACAATCAATGGGGAAGTTTAACTAAAAACAAAATCAGGGCCGTCAGTTAATGGGGGAAAAGTAAACAAATAACAATTGGTAGCGTGACAAGTAAATGTGGGGGCAAATGAAAAAGATACAACAACAATGAATGGTAGTGTGGAAATTTGGAAAGTAAATTGGAATAAGCGTAATTTAAATCAATGGTAGCGTGGAAGTTAAAATAGTTAAATTAAAGTGAATGTTCAATTTATATGAAAGGGCACTAAAGTGTATAATATGAAATGAATTAAGAAACAAATAGATTAAAGTTTAATAAATCTATTGTAATTAAAATAATACTCAAAAATACTAGTACAAATACAATATTACAAAAACACACCAACCTTCTCCTTCAGGGCCTGGGCAATGGATTGGTGAAGAGCCTCCATTTGTTTTTCCATCATCTTAGAAAACTGGGAAATCAAACTCACTGGGGATTCAGATGAAGGGCTTTGGACATGGGCCTCAGTTGCTCGAAGTTCAGGATCATGAGTCGCTTGCAAACGTTTCTTGCGACCTTTGAAAAAGGATTCGTATTGCAGGGCCATGGTAAGGGCCTGATTGAGAGAAGTGGGCTTGGCGAATGAAAGTTTTGCCTCAAGATCCACATCATTTAAGGCGTCAATGAAAGCCTGCATTGCTTGATTCTCAATACCAGACTTGGGCATACCCAGGCCACCATATGCCTTGCGGGCAAGTTTTCTAACCTCATGGGCTAACTTCTCAAGGGGTTCATCAGGGCCTCGGAGTCTATTTTTCAAAAGGGCTCGGGCATTGTCACTTTGTTGAGGAGGCTCATAATTCATCTGCAGGGCATTGATGATAGAGTCAAGGTCAGGGTTAACCCCTTCTTCTATATCATCGAGAACATTGGCTGCCTCACCATCATGACTTCGGACTAAATAGATCGCAGCCTCATCACTATCCCAACCATTATTTTGGGAGACTAATCGGAATTGGATCAAAAATGCTGACAAGCTACATTTTCCATCGAATTTGGGGGCCCTCATTTCCCGTTTCTTATTGTAGACTGGTTTTGGACTTTGGAATTTTGACTCACTCCCTCCTGAAGAACTATTATCACACCATTTGGGAAGGTCAGTGGAACGTTTCTTGTATTTCTTTGTCTGCAATAGTGAATCGACCTTACTCAAGGGATCCCTGGGGGCAAAAGACATCTGTTCAAATGGATCAGAATGGGCTGTTTCATACCCCATTGAAATTGATTGGGAAGGCACTTGGTTATGGGATTCCTGCCTCTTTGTGTGCGGAGAAACGGGGGAATGGTGATAGCAGGGCATAGGACTAGACTTAAGATGCCCCTTCGATCTGGGACTCATACTGGATCTGGGACTCATACTGGATCTGGACTGTTGATCAGATACCCATGACATGGTATCGGATTCCCTCCCAGTATATCTTGAACATAGGGGAGCTCCAGAGAACTCACCCCTTGCATATTCCCTCCCAGTATGCATTGGGCTGAGGGAAGCTCCGGAGAGCTCACTCTGGATTTTTCCCCAAAAAGAGTGCCTTGGGCTTAGGGGAGCTTCAGAGAGCTCACCCCTGAGATATTTATCCCCATGATGCAATGGACTAAGGGGAACTCGTGAGAGCTCGCCCCTTGCATGTTCCCTCCCCGTGTGCCTAAGATGCAGAGGAGCTCCATGGAACTCTCTCCTTGAATATGTTTCCCCATGAGGCAATGGGCTTGGGGGAGCTCGGGAAAGCTCACTCCTTGGGAATTCCCCAACAGAGTGCCTTTGCATAGGGGGAACTCTAGAGAGCTCACCCCTGGCGTTGTCTTTCCAAGGGTATAATGGGCTTGGGGGAGCTTGGAAGAGCTCACACCTTGCAAATTCCCCAAAAGAGTGCCCTTGGATAGAAGGAGCTCTCATGAGCTCACCACTGGCATTGTTTTCCCAAGGGTAAAATGGGCTTGGGGGAGCTCGGGAAAGCTCACCCCTTGGAAATTCCCAAACAGAGTGCCTTTGGCTAGGAGGAGCTATAGAGAGCTCACCCCTGGCGTTGTTTTCCCAAGGATAAAATTGGCTTGGGGGAGCTCGGGAAAGCTCACCCCTGGAATGTATTTCTCCACGATGTAATGGGCTTGGGGGAGCTCGGGAAAGCTCACCCCTTGCAAATTCCCCGACAGAGTGCCTTTGGCTAGAGGGAGCTCTAGAGAGCTCACCCCTGGCGTTGTCTTCCCCAGGGTATAATGAGCTTGGGGGAGCTCGGGAAAGCTCACCCCTGGAATGTATTTCCCCACGATGTAATGGGCTTGGGGGACCTCGGGAAAGCTCACCCCTTGCATAGTCCCTCCCAGGCTTAGTCAGCGTTGAAGGAGGAGCTTGGGAAGGCTCTCTCCATGCTGAATTTTCCCAAGCAGGCTTAGAGAAAGGATTATACCCTGAATGAATAGGGGGGCAATAATTTGAAGGACTTTGCAAAAGCGTTTGATCGGGTTCAATTTTAAAGTTTTTCATATAGCCACAAGGTGAGGCAGATCTTGGTGGCTTTGGCGATACACCAGGCATCGAACGTTGGGCTTTGCGCTCAGAGTGCCTGGAAGTATCTGGTAAGGGTAAAGTGTCTGCCATGGCAAATTTCATGTCCTGGTCATCAAGGGCACGATGACCTGGGACAATTTCAGGGTCATCAAATGAACAGTATGACCTAGACATGGGCAATGGGGCTTGTTGGGCAGCAGAGGAAATACTCATAGTGACTGTTTTGTAATTGGGCATGTATTTGTACTGAAAATTGGTAATGTTAGTAACAAACAAACAAAGCTAAAAGTTCACACTAAATAAAAATAAGTTTGAGGCATGTGTCAACACTTTCAAAGTATTATATACCACCACTAGGCACCATTTGTGAGGACCCTGGGGTAATAGTTAAATAATAACAATCAATGGGGAAGTTTAACTAAAAACAAAATCAGGGCCGTCAGTTAATGGGGGAAAAGTAAACAAATAACAATTGGTAGCGTGACAAGTAAATGTGGGGGCAAATGAAAAAGATACAACAACAATGAATGGTAGTGTGGAAATTTGGAAAGTAAATTGGAATAAGCGTAATTTAAATCAATGGTAGCGTGGAAGTTAAAATAGTTAAATTAAAGTGAATGTTCAATTTATATGAAAGGGCACTAAAGTGTATAATATGAAATGAATTAAGAAACAAATAGATTAAAGTTTAATAAATCTATTGTAATTAAAATAATACTCAAAAATACTAGTACAAATACAATATTACAAAAACACACCAGAATACATTAAGTGGCTTACCCATACTGTCGTTCCCTTTGTTCAATGATATCCAACATGTTTTAGCTTATGTCTAAAAATGTGAAGAAACCAAGTGTTCCTGTCAAGGTCTGGTGTAAAAGTGCCTCTTGACCAAAGGAAACAGACAGTTTATATTCTAAAAGTTGCCAAATTACCATATTATTGTACCGCACCTGGCCCTGGGACCAGGCACTGAACAAAGGGATGATTCTTACAGCTAAGGGATTATCTAAGAAAGCCAGACTGTGACTAATGTCTATTCAAAAAGTTTGAATAGAGTTCACTTGGTTCAGACTAAAGCTCTGCTATAGCAGCAGCATATAGACTGCACTGAATGAACAGGTCAAAGGGTCACAAAGTACAATGCAAAACTTTATGAAGGAAAAAATGTGAAACGAAAATGTAACTTTAGATATTAAAACATGGAAATGCTATAATTAAAACTAAATATAATACATTGATATTAAGAAGGATTTAACACGATGACCAGTGATCAGAAAACAAAGGTATACCACCTTTGATCACGGGTCATCACACTATTAAAAATTCACTAGAGGCTGGACTTCCACGTCTAGCAAATCTCTTGCGAGCAAGGGTCTGGGTAGGTGCCAAATAATGCTTGTTATTTAAATTCAGAAAAATTTCCTACTTGTTCAACTTGAATTTCTTCAGATAGACAAGCAGACCTAAGTGCCAAAATACGATTAGGTGCTGGGCTTGTTGGGTAAATTACTTGGCATCCATGTTTTTCAATTTGACTAAATACTTTCAGCTTGTTCACACTTATAAGCAACATGATAAAGACGTCCAGTTGTTGCTGCCATTTGGTGACCACCTCATTTCTGTGGATACCAACAGCTGTGTCATTATATGGAATATAGAATCTGAAGGTAGGTATATATATATTATTATGATCATTATAATGCTATTTGTCAAGCAAAATTATTCTTCAAATTGCTTCTGTTTAAATCATAACATGCTAGTGAATCAAAATAGAAACCGGGGTAGGAGAATTTGGTCAAAATATTTCTATTTTAAGTCTAGCAATTTATACTATTAGCCCAAAGCTAAAACTTGTCTTATACATGTACATTAATCGAAGTGTATTACATCCTGGCTATTTTAACAATCTTATGTTATTTCAGAGATCCATTTGGAGTTATCATTCAGCAATACAGTATTCCAAGTGACAGCTATTTGTCATCCTAGTACATATGTTAATAAAGTAAGTTTATCTCATAGAGGGTCGGGATATTGGGATTTTTCTAAGTACGGTAGAAACTATTGTTTCATGACTGTAACAATACTTGCAAACCTGAAATTTATGTTCATTTGTTATTTACTTGCACATCCATTGAAAGAAGTTAAGTAATGTGCTGCCTTGAGAACTTAGGCTTGTTCTTTACCTCACCAATTTATGCTCAAATCTTTGCCACACATTTTCATTTTATGATTCTAAAGCAATATTGAATTCTGAAGCAGATATAAATCTCTTAATAGGATAAAGACATGCAGAAAGTTCAAATGAAAAACCATGAAATCAGAAAAACTCCCAAGAATTACTGAAGTTTCCTTTTTCAAATGAATCCAATGTAATGCAATTTTATTTAATAAATTACCTTTTCAGGTTGTCTTTGGCAGTAAACAAGGAAGTCTGCAGTTATGGAATATCAAATCGGGGAAACAAATTCACGCTTTTAAAGATTTTAATGCACCAATCACAGTTCTGGAGCAGGTTAGTATAAATGAGACGACAAATGGCCAAGTTGAGCCCTTGTTTGTGCCTACTACAAAATATTGTTGTCAAAACAAGAACCTTGATTCTTTTTTTCTATCATTTTTATTCTATCATTTTTATCATGTTTCAGATTTCTGCTCCTTGGGATTTCAAAAATGTAATAATGTCTGAATTTATCATTATCTCTACAAAGTACACCTCTGCCCTTATCAAATGCAAATGAAAGGTAGATCAATAATAATATGTTGCAAATAGTGTGATAATGATATAACATTAACCATGGCCTGAAAATCTTTAAATGATAAAATGGTCACACAAATGTATCTGGAATTGGCCTTTATATTGTATATTTATGAAACATTTATGTATTTCGTTCAAGTGCAAATTCTCAAACAGTCTTTCAAAATGTGGAATCTGTTGAAAAAACCCTGATTTTACATGGATAGCATTTTGCTATGTCAAATTTTGCTACCTCTCAGGTTGTTCCAAAATCAAAGTTGTTGCTGTTTTTTCCAAAGTGTACCAATTCGCTCAGGTTTTCTTTCTACTAGAATGAACATGAATTGATTAAATCTTGATTTGTTTAAATCCAGATATTCTTTCCACTGATCTTCTTCTGCAATCCCTGTCAACTCTGAACTGTCTGTGTGTTTAATCCCTGCTATGTTGGCTAAGATTCCCGTTACAAAAACATCATCCACAGGTAAAACTGCGTGTTATGACCTAACACTTCCTGTATGTTCATAAAGCCATCTTGAGAATATACAACAGCAAATCCTGGGCAAAAATCTGGGAATATATCTGGATCATGAATTTTATATTCTTCGTTTGTGACATGATTTTTATATCTTTTGTCTCTAATAACAACAGCTTCATGCACCACTCTGCACATCAATAGGTTCTTGGTCATATTCTTTATTTCTAGCTCCTCAAGTTTGTCAATCAAAACTGGAATGTTAACAAATACATCGTCATCTGTCTTAATAATGTACTTTGTATTTGAGCAATGGGCTTTCACCCAATTTAGCCCCATTGTAGCCTTATATGTCAGATGAGAATAGATGTCTCTAAATGCTCCTTGTATGATGTCGTGATGGTTACGGCTCTCAGTAAGAATTCTCTTATTTATTCTTTTATCATCGCTGTCTCCTAATAAGAACACCAAAGTTAGTTTATAATCCTTGTAACGTTTATTACTTCCCCAGGATGCTCGGATGATATTTCTGTTATTCAAATTATTTGGAGCAGAGTGGACGTAGAAAAGAATGTCTGTTTTATCATTTCTACATATGGGCTTGAGCAAGCTATTGGTAGCACTTTTAGTCCCATAGAAGTGGACTTTCAAACTTGCTAGAAGAAAACATTTTCCTGAATCATAATTTTACTTAATGTCTTACCTTTCATTTTTTATTGACCCAGAGATAACTGTTTGCATCGATATTGAAAAAAATCAGGATGATATTACAAGCCCCAACTTTGGCTCTTCGGAAAGGACACACACATAATTGCAATTATAAAGGGTATATATAAGTTTCAATATATGTTCCACATTTTTTGTTTAAAAGCATGCACATATATGGTTCTAAATAACTAATAGTTTTTATCTGAATCATTATCATAGAAATGAATTATGAAGACCAATCTCGTCACTTGGCCCGTGATTTCGGCAAAAAAGTTCAATCATTTTTCCAATTACGATAAAACTTAATAATGCTGAATATCCTGTTGATTTTTCCTTCTGTCTGAATCATTACAAAGTCCTTAATAATGTTTGATTATATATGAGACAATCATGATAGTATATATGTGTACCATATGACGAAACTACACTTGTCCAAAGCTCTTCGGAAAGGACATTTTTTAGTGTATTACTAAATACTGTTTAATAGATTGAATTTGAGGGAGCAATTTTCGGAGATTGTACATTTGTTTCTATTCATGTATTCATGTTTTCGAGATTTACCACTGATTACATCATTAACTGTGATTTTTAATAGGTAAATATATGGGCGATAATAGGGCAAAACATCATTAAAGTCATCACTTTAAGGTTATCATGAATGTACTTGTAGTTTTTTTTATTTAGTTGCTGGGCTGGGGACATGTAGGCCTATGAAACAGCATTATGCACAGAAACGACTCAATTGTTGGTGGTAATTGTTAGTGAATTGAACCTATTATCACAGGAAAAATAGTGATGAAGATACAATTTTATATTTGCGGCATTCTTCATTTGCAATTTTACACTTGAGTGTTTTAAAGGGTTTTACAGTACTGTTCAAATCAAGATTCAATGTAATATTTGTAAACATTGTGCTTATGCCTTTATACATCAGTAGAAAAGTTAGTTATAGACATCAAATACAGCATTCCTAATCAGAGACTGAATTGCTCTTCGGAAAGGACACATTTACTTTTGTAGTTCCTGTTTAAGTCTTAGTTACTTCAGTAAAGATATTTTATGTATAAAAGTTCATCAGAAAATATATTCCAGTGTGTTTCTCTTCAATATTGTTGGTAAATGCACTGTTTTGACAGAGTTTGTCTTTTCCGAAGAGCTCTTCGGAAAGGACTTTTTTCTTGTGTCGGAATTTTAAAATTGATTTTACAGTTCAAAGCTATTTATTTGTTTTGAATATTCAAGAAACTAAATGCATTTTGTTTTAAAATAGTTTTTAGGGTATCATATTACTTCAGTCTTAAAATACACATGCTCTTCGGAAAAGACATTTGCGTGTCGGAAAATCAGTTAGTTATTTTGAGAGCCAATATCTCAGGAACCACTACAGCCTTTTCTATAATTTTTTAGTGACAGAATTTTAACATTCCGTACTTTTGATATCATCTTAAAAAAACTGTAAGCAAAGATTGGAAAATATGTTGAAAAATTCAGTCTTTTTTAACATAAAATTTACAATGCAATGTTACACCAACGGTTGTGTGCTACAAGCGGTTGTAAAAACTCTATACACTATTATGGACACACTTGTTGCATATCATTTTAAAGCAAATTCCTTAATCTTTCTAATGCAGCCAAATTACTTTAACTTACTCTATTCAAGTACATGTTTGAAGTATATATGTAAAGGTGGATTTTTTCTTGGGAATTTGTTACATAGAGAATAAGGCATATTTTGATTATCATTCATCTTTCAAAAAAATGATATCTTCCTCAGACATATAGTGGGTATACCTAATTAATAAGACTGATTTCCCATCTGTATCTTAAGCCTTGCATTTTTTCTGGGTGCCAATATGAAAGTGCTACCAATAGCTTGCTCAAGCCCATATGAATTCCTGGTTAATCATGTAAGTTGACTTGTACCAACTCTGAGGTGTTGCCATACCAACTTTTAAAACACTGGCAATCATTTTTAAATCACTTTGTGTTTGGCCATTTGTGTTGTTCATATTCTGATGTATAACGTCCTTTTTGATGGTTTCTTCTGTATGGTTTAATTTTATAGTTAGAATTAAGAAAAATAATAAACTTGTCAATGTTATCGTTAACTTTTGGTAGAGCTTCATTTTTCATTAATTTATTTATTAAACAGTAAATCTAATGTCTCCAGACATCTCTAAAATACTAATACGGACATTTCTATCCCCATTTTTTTATACTCTATTAATGACATTCATCAATTGATTAAAGTAAAATCATTGTAGACATTTTTGTACTGATGTGTTGTAAAACTCAGGCATGCGATTTGTCTGACTTAAAATAATGTCATTAAGGTCATTATGCCGTGTACATGTACTAGGGTAATTAATTAAGTAGGGGACCGTGTCAAAACCAATTACATATTGTTGATATATAGTTGTTCTTTTAACAAGTACACACACGGATAACATGATCTTGTTTTGTTAGCACCTAAGGCTAGTAGAGTTGACAGCCAATTAATCAGTTAAGCTATAACTTGGTTACAAATCTGGGAAAATTCAATGCATAATACAATGTACAATATCATACCTGCCTACTGCAAAATCAAACCAGGAGATAGACGTGCATGCTGTGGAGTAATATGGCCCTTGCTTGATTTTCCATTTGTTGACGTTTAAAAATCCTCTGTTTTAGAATTCTGTTCTTGTTTTTCCCAAATAAATATTATCTTGTCATTAGCTTGGCAGGTACAGGTGTGCATTCCCAGACAAACAGTCTGACAGATTTCTTTTCAGGGATGTTTCTTAGTTGTAAAAATCTAGAACTGATTTCATCTTGTAGGCTCCAGCTATTGATGTGCTTGGTATTGGATTTGCTGATGGACGTACTATGTTACACAACATCAGATACAATCAGACCATCATGACTGTCACACAGGATTGGGGTCCAGTGACTGCCATATCCTTCAGGACTGGTATGTTATATCATGGCAAATGCATTTTTAAATTAGCCTACTCCTGCAGTCTGAATTGAGCATTTGAATATTCGTGTTGTTCGTTTTTCAACCGAAGACATAGCTGTATATTATTCAGTACAAGGGCCACGTTTTAATATCATTTACTTGGTCTCATTTAATTATTATGTAAGTGTTATATAATTGTACCTATTGCGCTTCCTTGCTTTAATGATGAACAAAAACTTTTGGTTTCTTAATTAATTTACTATGTAAGCCAACATGAAATGTTAAATAGGCAGCTTTGTATATTCTGTCTGAGCTAACATGTACATATGCGAGTATAATATAATGTTGCCATAGATGGCAGTCCCATCATGGCTGTTGGTAGTCCCCTTGGGCACATTGGTGTTTGGAATCTTGAGGAGAAACGTCTGATCAGTCAGATACAGGAGGCCCACAACAGTGCAGTGTCGGGTATGCAGTTCTTGCCCTCAGAACCAATCATGGTCACTAACTCAGCTGATAACTCTGTCAAGGTAAGATGTGGATACTTTGTTGAAAATTGTATTTTCCAAGGGTTAGTCTTATCATTGCTCAATGAAATGTAGATTTCAAAAGTTGGCAAAATGACTGCTGTATTTGACCACTTTCTCTTCTATACTTAACTTACTGTACATTATGAGTGGGCCTCAGCCATAGGAATAGAGTTGAGTAGAGGTTAAGTGTTAACCAATATGGCAAGTGATTGTCATTAATTGAACCAATGAACAAAATTGTGATTGAGCTTTCACTTTCAACAATTTGAATCCATTCTGTTCGCAGATTTAGATCTAAACAATAGCTGTTAGGATGAAGGTAATTTTCAAAATATATTTTTATCGATGTTTGTTGCAGATGTGGATATTTGATCAGGCAGATGGAGGTGGGAGGTTGTTGAGACAGAGGACAGGACACAGTGCTCCACCAAATAAAGTCAGGTTCCATGATCAACAAGGACAGAATATACTCAGTGCAGGTACTTTGGTATAGAAACTGGATTATACAGCTCTGTGCATACATCTTTAATACCTATAAATGTAACTCAGTAAAAATATGTATAAACTGTTGTCAGGTTGATGTATAAGTCAAAAAGAAGGTTTAGATTTCCCACAAAGTAACATTTTAACTCAGACTGATTCTGTTAGTATATAATGGAAATTTTCTCAATTACAGAATCAGTTTCTGAAGTCAATATTGGGAATTCTGGTTCCTAGGAAATGATAGAAATAATATGGCATGGATGTTACTTTATAATATGAAAGCTTCAAGTACTCGTATATTACAGGTCAAGACAGTACCCTGCGATCATTCTCCACAGTTCACGATCGTCACAACAAGAGCCTGGGCAGGGCATCTTTTAACAAGGCACAGAGCAAGAAGTCTGGTCTAAAGCTAGATCAGCATATGATGCCGCCCATTATCGACTTTGCATCAGGTGAGTGGTCAATTATGATACCATCCACTGTTCTGTTCAGAATTTTATGCAAGACAAAACATTTGGGATCCAGAATTTTACTTTGTTAAGCTGAGAGTGAATGTTCCTCGATATCAAACAAATTTTGTCCACCTTTTGGATGAGACTAACTCCAGTAAGTTTCATCCTGCTGTGGACCAGTGAAGATTGAACCATGTCTTAGTCATTTTTGTGGTTCACGTCACTACAGTATTTTATAACCTATAATTGTTTGCAGAGACCAACAGGCAGAGTGATTGGGATAGTATTGTGGCATGTCACAGAGGCATAAACATCACTACCAGCTGGAACTATACCCGATCAACAATGGGCAAATACAAACTACAGCACCCTCGTTTCAGTAAAGATGCCACATATGCTACTGCTACTGCACAAGTAATATATCTATTTATTTTGTTGAATAGTCTGCTAGCTCTCTGATTAATGTGTTACACTAGAGCATATATCGTAATTCACCACCTAGCCTACAACTTTTCACTCTCGAGACAGGGAACAGAAATGGAGACATTTTACTCTCAGTCATCCAAATTCATTCCCATTTAAGTTTCATTCAAGAGACGGGTACTTTGTTTCTAAAAATCTAACAATACTTAGTCTTTGTAGATAAAAATCACACATTGAATGTAAAGATGAATCTACTACTTCATTTTCAAGGTAGCAACATTAAGCAGCTGTGGAAACTTCTGTGTGATAGGCTATTCTAGTGGCCATGTGGATGTCTATAACATGCAGTCTGGTCTACACAGAGGAGAGTATGGTCAACCTCAAGGTACAAGAAATCATGTTTTCATTTGATCTTGGGTCATAATAAACAATATTAGTGCAGTTATGGTTGAGGAATTGCAGTATATTATAGTCAATTGTGATTTAGGCATGATGTGAAAAAGGGACAGTAGAAAAGTATAATAGGCTTAGGGTCATGGGGGTCATATGACATCATCCAAATAGATAATAGCCTGTGTTAAACATCTTGAGCTTTTCAGGCAATAAACAACTGTTTGGCAAATATATAAGCACTTTGTAAATAAACATAACAACGATTATAAATCGAATGTTATTTAGTAAAATATATATTCAGTGATATGAACATTCATTATTTCATTATCTTATATCTAAAATTAAACATTTAATGAACTTGTGGGTATCTATTTCATGTGCTAATGTTGTTCATAATTGCAGCCCATGAAGGAAGCATACGTGGTGTAGCAATAGATGCACTGAACCAACAAACTATAACTGCTGCATCAGACTGTACAATTAAATTCTGGAAGTTTAAACAAAAGACACTCCTCGGAACATTGACCCTGGACAGCCCTGTAGCACTAATACATCTCCATAGAGAGAGTGCCATGATGGCAGTCGCTCTTGATGACTTCACAGTTGTCATGGTTGATATTACAAGTAGGAAAGTCGTGAGGAAGTTTGAAGGTCATTCTAACCGTGTGACTGATATGACATTTAGCGTTGATGCTCGCTGGCTGTTGACAGCATCAATGGATTGTAGTTTAAGAACCTGGGATGTACCTACTGGAAGGTGGGTTTCTATACATGAATTTTTCATGGACTGGGTCACTAAATCATACCTACATTCAATTTGAATTATCAATCTGTTCCCTACTTCTCTTATAGTAGTTGATATATGTTTCATAAAAAAATCATAAAAAGGCTGTTCATATTTGACCATTGCCATTTCAGAAGAACTTGGCTAATTGGGGTGATTTGGCCCATGATTCTTGAGATGATATTAGGCTGAAAGTGACCTTGACCTGCCTTGATCTTTAAGTTTCACCTTCATGGGCCCTGACCTTTAACACTGTCTCAATACAATCATGAATATGTTTGTATGTCTCGTTTAGCCTATATCGGTCATATCGGTATATGACAGGCCAAACACACAAACATTCATCATCATATTATATAGAAAGATAGCCGTTTATTTTGTGTTGCAGGTTACTTGACTGTGCTTTGGTAGACAGGGCTATCACGAGTATGAGCATGTCCCCCATTGGTAGCCTTCTGGCTACAGGTCACCTGGATGATGTGGGAGTCTACATCTGGTCTAACATGACCCTCTATACACATGTCAATCTGCTACCCCTCTCAGAGAACTATGAACCTACTCTCCTGGATATGCCTTCCACAGGCAAGAGGGAGGCAGGTAAGCAGAGCTATGGTTGAAATATGGATGGGATTACATGCAGTTGTTACTGTCTTAATGAACAACTTTATCTAGTGAACTCTCTCAAGTGAACACCTGTTACTAGTGAACTCCATTTCTCATAACTTTACTTCTATATAAAATCAGGTTGTGGTGTTACACTATACACATAAATGCATATACCTTGATTATGCTGCAAACCAAAGAGCATGGATGCATATGTGGATGACATGAACTAAAAATGTCATCTTTTAGCAACCACTCAATTTATTTTGAAATTATCAATTTAAGTTAAAGTAATTATTCTCATTGTATTTGAAGGTGAAGAAGATGATGTTTACATTAAAGAGGAGAAGATGTCATCAACAGAGTTTGTTTCTCCAGAGCAACTGGCAGATAACCTTGCCACTCTTTCCACTTTGCCCAACTCAAGGTGGCAGAACCTTCTACAGCTCGACACAATAAAGGTAAGTTTAAGGGGCAGAGTCTGTAAATCTGATCTTAGATAAACCCAAATGTTATTTATAAAAACCTATGATTTGAAACATCAATAGATATTACATTTTGGTACAAACTTTCTTAAAATATCAAAGCTTGGTAGAACACCTCCCCTTTTAAGCATTGTGGCAAGTTTTTTGCACATTTTCAAAGTTAAAAGACAATTCTAAGATTGAATCTCCACATGAATTTACAATTTACAAGCTTTAGTACTAAAAGAAAAGAAGGTTCCTTCAAGGATGAGATCTTGGTTTGTCTCTTATGGTAGCACAACTGCAAATACTGGATATATCAATACGATATGATGCAGTGCAATACAATGCAATGCACTGCAAAACAATACAATACAATGCAATACAATGCAATGCAATGCAATACAATGCAATGCAATACAATACAATGCACTGCAAAACAATACAATACAATACAATTCAATACAATACAATACAATTCAATGGTGTATTTATTTCAGGAGAGAAACAAACCTAAGCAGCCCCCAAAAGTGCCCAAGTCTGCGCCATTCTTCCTTCCAACAGTCAAAGATCTTGAACTGAAATTTGACCTCACTCCAGAAGAGAAAAAGAAAAAGGTACGATTATTTGTATCTCAAACAGTTTCAAATTGATAGATTGAAAGTCCCTATGGTGTTGCATTTATACTTTAAAATATCTTCTATTAGTTTTAAGATATTCTGTAGATAAGAACAAGACAGGCTTTGGGTTAGTCAAAATGTGATATATGAATGAAAGTAGAAATAAATTAATGACATCACAGACAGAACTCCCTCGTTCAAATCTGATTGAGTTTTGTATATATTATAGTTATTTGATTAATTTTGTGATTTGAATCCACCCATAATTTATTATTTATTGATTTCTAGGTTGATTTTGACAGTGCAGCTATTTATTCTCTCCAATTGTCAAAGTTTGGAACAACCTTGAAAGAAGCAGCTGTAAAGAAAGAATGTATGTCCATTATTTAAGGATTACTATTATTTATTCATTTATTTATTTAATATCACATAGTTGTTGTTAATTGTCATACACACTCTTAGAAGAGGCAAGATGTTATTGGTAATATTGTTTACTGTGTTTTCTGTAGTAGTAGTACTGTAATTTGTCCTAACACCTTTCATATTCACTATCATCTCACTGAATAGCTTATATTTATTTGTATTACATACCTAGCGAAGCATTTGTATGGAAGTCAATGGAGCTGAAGGTGGGCTATATATTCCTGTATAGCCGCCAAACTTTTTTACCATGACAACTTTATGACGTCATAACATGTAAACAAAGTGATTTAGACTGGAATCGTGTAAAATTTTGGTCTTTTTTCATGTATTTCAAAGTATTATCTTTATGAAATGTTATGTAAATGTACTTTAGGTATGTAATACATCAATTATGTCCGTATCATTGAATATATGCCTTCAGTCTGTAATCAATATAACCCTCGCAAGCTCGGGCTATATTGACGTCAGACTTCAGGCATATATTCAATGATAGGGACATAATGGCTATATATACATTATATGTATACATTATCCTTATCAGTTATTTATATACATTATCGTATGTATACATTATTCATATACATTATTTACATACATTATATATATACTGTATAATGTAGATGATCCTGTGCTGTCTGCCATGAAAGAGATGAGTGTATCATCCATAGATGTTGAGCTACGTTTATTGGCCCCAGTTGGAGACACCAGTCCTTTGTTAACCAACTTCCTAGAGTTCTTGGAGCACATGTTCACCACTCGAAGAGACTTTGAGTTAGCACAGGCCTGGTTAGCTTTATTTCTCAAGGTAGGCTAAAGAGATCGTTTTTGTTATTTATTTCCAGAGAATTATGGTCTAGATATTTGTCACAAGCATAGGAAGTGGAAAGGGCATTATCTTACTGAGAACTTTTCTCTATAGAGTTATAGATTGCCAAATGCAGTAACTTCAAAACAAGAAGTCTTGAATGGTATCTAAAATACAAACAAACGCTTTCCTGAGATTATACTTTTAATTCTACTTAATACCTACCTTGTATGATAAGAACTCTTAAAATACAATATAACTAATTCAAACATGGTCTATTTTTTGTATTCCAGATCCATGGTGATGTTATTGCCAGGAACGATGATTTACTACATGTAACAGGACGTATCTGTAAAAGCCAGGAAACAATGTGGAAAGGACTGCAGCAGAAACTCAACCAAAGCACATGCCTTGTGAACTATCTAAAAAGTGCAACTCTGACAATATAACAAAAATATAAAGCATTAGCCTATTATAAAATATTGACTTTGATTGTCATGATTTGTATGTGTAAAAGCAAGGAAACAAACTATATATGCAATAAAATAAAAATAAAAATACCAACATTGCAACATTTGTCCTATCTTCATTCGTAGATGATTCGAGTGCAGTCTGATTGACTGGAAAATAAAGTCACTCCCCCTATTTGCGTAAAGCAATACAAAGCATCACAGCTTTCTTTTTTTTATATTTTTATGAGTCAGTTCCCAAGAATACCAATTATATACCAGTATATTGGCCTAGAGTTTGTCTTTAAAGCTTTTAGAAAATAACTGGTAGATAAGCTAAGTGCCTGTATTGGAAAGTGGAAGCCATCGTTTGTTGTCACTTGAGTAGTTTTGTGGGTGTTGTAGGGGTCCTATCAAACATTGACTAGTTGATCTCCAAACTACATCCAATAACCAGTAAAAATGTGGAGTATTTTAGAAGAGAATTAATAAATGTTCTGTCTACAATGAAAAAGATATTACAATGTTTTGGACCACCCTGTATATTTGAAATAACCAGTAAAAATGTGGAGTATTTTAGAAGAGAATTAATAAATGTTCTGTGTACAATGAAAAAGATATTACAATGTTTTGGACCACCCTACATATTTGAAATAACCAGTAAAAATGTGGAGTATTTTAGAAGAGAATTAATAAATGTTCTGTGTACAATGAAAAAGATATTACAATGAATCGGAGAATTATCCTGAATTTAAATATGCCAAGTGTGTCTCATCCAATCAGCTTAATGTATTTCAGTGCCCTCATTCAAGGTATATAATCAACTGAGCAGAAACATTATTTTACAGTGTAAGTGCATTATGGTTTCATAATGAACTGAGCAGTGGCATTATTGGTAATATAGTGACATCATCACAGTGCATTATGATTTATAAAAGCTGGACAATGCCAATTTTTATAAAGGAGTGATAGGATATATGAATTGTAACAAAGAACCCTGTGTCATTCTGTATTGAAATTAAAAAAGCATTTTTGCGTTTGTACAGGCTAGTATATGCACTCATGGATTTCAAATGATTAGAAGTCCATGATGCACTCATGCTTTTGAATTTCAAAAAAATCATTAATCCAATAATTCTCCTGTTTTTTACTGAGACATTTTTGCACGCATCTCCAAAATGTTCCTCGAAATATATTTTTCTTTTGTGCCATGATTAATTGAAATGACAGTGTCGTTTTTTTAATATCTTGCTGTCAGATTGAATTTCCTTTTATAGATCTGCATAATCCTCATTGATGAGTAAGATTGGCTCAGACAGTAGGTTCATCACAAAGATTCGGCATTACATAAGCACGATCCATTATGTTAAAATATATGTCAGTATGAGTGTCAAGATGTACCCATTCTATTGGAACAGTTGATAAAACAACAACATATGTGTCTAATGAGTTAAATGAGTCAAATATGGAATGTCTGAAATGTGTCCCGGGAATTGGCATTTTAAAACTCTCAACTGAACGAAATGACATATTTTTCAGAAATTGGACTGTGTTTTTATTCAAGCGTATGATTCTCGATATTAAAGGGTCACGTTCAAGTATTCTTTCATATAATTCAATGCAAAAATTAATATATAATCCAATATTTATATGCAATCTGATTTTGTAAAGAGCTGGCATATATTTTATTATTAAGATTAAACGCAAAATCGGAATGTGTATAACCGGAAATGCTGTGACTCAGAATTCAAGTTTTTGTTTCCGCACATTTTTAAACTTTGTGCTTGTTTGATGACTAGAATAGGGATGAAGATAGAGAAACGGCATCATGTATCTACTGAAGAGTAAAGAGAACAATGAAAAGAGGGAATCAAGGGATCTCCAAAACAAAAGCAGAAAATTTGTTGAAAGGCAAATCAGGTCAGCTTCTGTGGACAGTTCAGGTTTGAAAGGTGACGACCTTTTATCATCATCCTTAGAAAAATATGATGTGGATGAACTTCCAGATGGTTCGGTCATTTCTCCACAGAAGATTATCAGTAGTCCAGAAGATCGAGAAACATCTGTCAGATCAGCAGAGGTAATAGCTGCATTGTATTTGTAAACATTGATTATTTTATCTTCACATCTGTTTGATAAATTATTAAATAAATTGTTTAACAATATCCAGCAGGATTCATGAGCATATTATATGACTTTACATGTTGATGTTCATCTTCTGTACTAAATAAGATGACAAGAGAATGGGAGGCAATGTCGGGCATACTCGTTAAATAGCGCCCCCGAAGACCCCTTGGAAAAAATCAAAAATAAGTATATTAATGAGTAATCCCAAATCCCCAAAACTAGGCCAGCACAATTTCTATTGTGGCATGAAAAAAATTTAAAATGATTTCATATAAAATGCACCTTATTATCTAATATACTTCTTCCTAGTCTATAATAAAAAAAGTCGGGATCATCTTCTTCCTATATATAACTCGTCAAATAGCGCCCCTCCGTGTTATTTTCCCATTGGATTTATGGCCAAGGGGCGCTATTTGACGAGCTATAATAAGACACTTCTTCCTCGTCTATAATAACGAAATCTAGAGAACATCGTCTTCCTATATATAACTCGTCAAATAGCGCCCCTCCATGTTATTTTCTCATTGGGTTTATGGCGGAGGGGCGCTAATTAACGAGCTATAATAAGACACTTCTTCCTAGTCTATAATAACGAAATTTAGGGAACATCGTCGTCCTATATATAACTCGTCAAATAGCGCCCCTCCATGTTAAATACTCATTGAGTTTATGGAGGAGGGGCGCTAATTAACGAGCTATAATAAGACACTTCTTCCTAGTCTATAATAACGAAATCGAGGGAACATCGTCTTCCTATATATAACTCGTCAAATAGCGCCCCTCCATGCTATTTCCCCATTGGATTTATGGCGGAGGGGCGCTATTTGACGAGCTATAATAAGAGCCTTCTTCCTAGTCTATAATAAAAAATGTTGGCCAATAACATGTTTTATGTCACACATTTTCATAGAATTCAAATCTGTATTTTTATTCATCAGTGATAATAAAATAAAATATTGTAGGACGTTCAACATACATGTATATATATAATTAATGGCCTGGCGGTCAGTTTGATGAATTGGTGTACGTGACTAGATGCACGATGTTTTATGCAAACTATATGAAGTATTCATACACTGGACATGAGGGATTCAGTCGAAATAATTTAATTTTACATGTATATATGAATGAATTTGAGAGGGATAAAATTTACTTTTATAAGTTCTGAGTTAAATTTATGAAGGAAATTTTCAATTATGGGAGAATGACATGGCAAGAATCACAGTCTTTATTGCGTATAGATATTAGAGGTCATATTCTCCAGTATTTATAACCCAACAATGAACGATCGTGTGTGATAACTAATGGTATATTTTAGGACGTTTTTTATAACGCTAATAATTGAATTTACGAAGATATAAGATTTACAAACATTTATCGGACTAAATACTGCATCTTGATTCTCAGGGTTTTAGTTGTTCAAACTTCGCCTTGATATATCTAGTGTATGATTCAATTGCTAATGCCGTGGTCATTTTTAGCACCGATGCCCTGCCGATGAGTATTTTGTTCAAAATTTTCTCATTGGGTTTATGGCGAAGGGGCGCTATTTGACGAGCTTTAATAATAGCCTTCTTCCTAGTCTATAATAACGAAAATAAAGGGGCACTATTAAGTATCTATGTAATTTTATTTTATATTAAAGTAGGAGGCGCTACTAAGCAGGGGCACTATAATGTTGTATTATAATGTGAGGGGAGCTATTAAGTACTAAGTAGTGCCCCTATAATGTAATATTATTAATTGAGGGGTGCTATTAAATAGTGCCCCTCAATGCTAATATCATAATGTGAGGGGCGCTATTAAGTAATGCCCCTATAATGTAATATTATTAATTGAGGGGTGCTATTAAATAGTGCCCCTCAATGGTAATATCATAATGTTAGGGGCGCTATTAAATAGCGCCCCTTTTTATATTTTTCATTTTTTATATTTTTCCCCCCAAAAATACCTTGCCCCTTTTTTTATATAAGGCCCCAAAATAAATCCCTTTTAGAATGTAATCTTACATTGTAGTGTGTGTAATAAATAAATAAATAGAAAATATTTTTTTTTTTTTAAATTCGACAAAATTTGTATAATAAGTGTATAATATAACTCGTTAATTAGCGCCCCTCCATGTTATTTCCCCATTGGATTTATGGCGAAGGGGCGCTAATTAACGAGCTATAATAAGACACTTCTTCCTAGTCTATAATAACGAAATCTAGAGAACATCGTCTTCCTATATATAACTCGTCAAATAGCGCCCCTCCATGTTATTTTCTCATTGGGTTTATGGCGGAGGGGCGCAATTTAACGAGCTATAATAAGAGCCTTCTTCCTAGTCTATAATAACGAAATTTAGGGAACATCGTCGTCCTATATATAACTCGTCAAATAGCGCCCCTCCATGTTAAATACTCATTGAGTTTATGGAGGAGGGGCGCTAATTAACGAGCTATAATAAGACACTTCTTCCTAGTCTATAATAACGAAATCGAGAGAACATCGTCTTCCTATATATAACTCGTCAAATAGCGCCCCTCGATGTTATTTTCTCATTGGGTTTATGGCGGAGGGGCGCTATTTAACGAGCTATAATAAGAGCCTTCTTCCTAGTCTATAATAACGAAATTTAGGGAACATCGTCTTCCTATATATAACTCGTCAAATAGCGCCCCTCCATGTTAAATACTCATTGAGTTTATGGAGGAGGGGCGCTAATTAACGAGCTATAATAAGACACTTCTTCCTAGTCTATAATAACAAAATCTAGAGAACATCGTCTTCCTATATATAACTCGTCAAATAGCGCCCCTCCCATATTATTTTCTCATTGGGTTTATGGCGGAGGGGCGCTATTTGACGAGTTATATATAGAAAGTCGATGTTACCATATAGGAAGATCCCTGTTTTTTTAAATGTATTAATACATTAGGAAAAGTCTTTTTTAGATAATAAGGGGCATTTTTATGGATACTTATAATTATTTTAGACAATAGATTTCATTTTGGGCTTTATTATGCCTAATTTATGTATTTTTTCCAAGGGGTCTTCGGGGGCGCTATTTAACGAGTATGCCCAATGTCGTTCATGAAGATACATGATTGAGTCGTATTTGTCTGACATTTACCTTCATGGATGACATTACCTTCCTGCTATCTATATCTTTTACATTCCTCTTTATTCCAATTAAAGATACTGTATTCATTACTAATTTGGTGCTATTAATTCTTTCTAACTTGTCAACTTGTGCTACAAGAAAAAATACAGTATCATATACAAAAGGGGGCCAAAAGGTCTTGTGCTTATCCAGTATTCCATGTACATGTAGTTGAATCCCCAATATATAGGTCTATTGGCAGAATGAAGAACTTTTCATTTTTGGTCTTTATGTGGGAAATGTCCGGCGATAGAATGTGTCTGAATCAGTTAATAAAATCAGGAAATGAAAAGGATTTCCCTAAAATATATACAGTAGCTTTAGGATACCCTCAGATCTAGACAAGTCTAATCAAGTCATTGAAATACTTCAAAACATTCAAACTTTAGTAATAATAAAATAATTAAACCTTTTAGGCTTATCCTCAGTAATGTAAAGTTAATCCTGATAAGCTTTAATCAGGGTTGTAATCTCGTTTAACTGTTGCCATACAGCCAATCTGGTGAAGCAGAACTTCAGGGGGAGGGGTTATCCAGAGAGGTTTTAAAATCAAAATCCCCAACACATAAGGTATAAAAATATGGGAGTTTGAAATGAGGATTAAGATACCAGAATCCCTAAATAAACCACTGAGACCCTCGTAAAAAATTTTAGTCCTCCAAAAAATAAAAAATCTTTAATTTAATTAAAATCAGGAGAATAGGCTATTATTTATAAGTCTCGATCACATAGATGCTTTGCTTTATGCCTCAAACCATCCAACCTTCCGTTCCCCCTGGGCTTGATACAAAAGGCATGAACCTTTTATAATTTATTTTTAATTATTTTTTGCAGTATATCGGATCATTTTCTGTATGTGGAGTTGACCAGCAGTCAAGGACAGAATATGTGAGGGGACAGCTATCTAGTTTATTGGTAGGTGAAATTAACTTGAATATACATGTATACGCTGTTTGAGTTTCAGATAATAGTAAAGATAACATGGATGATCTATCTATCAAGTGAAGTTTTGACATTTATTCACATTTCCCAAAGTGCAAATATGAATTCATAAAGAATTACAATTGCTGAAATTATACAAAAATCGCAGAATTACAGGAACATTTTCCATTAAACTGTCATGATAATTTATCACTTGCTCACATACCAATTTTGACTTATCATGTTAGATACATTCATGTATACTGCAATACAACTTTCACAATGATAATGACAATGAGTCAAGAGTTTTCTGTTCAATACCATTTCCCTTGACTAATCAATTGAGGTATTTCTTTCAAGCCTGCCAATATAAACATTTAATTGTGGTTAAGAACCTGTTTCCACTCATTGCAATGTTATTATCATACTTAAATAGAGTTATTTTCAAGTAAAAAAAAATGGAATACTTTATGACTTATTTAAGCGAAGGCATTTTGCCTTTTACTGACATTGATCTTCCCAGCAATTTAGAATTAGATTACCCGGGAGATTACCAAGAACTATTTGCACTCATTTGAAAAGGAGGAAATACGAAAATCATGAAAATTGACAAACTTTAATAAGAATTATGAAATTGAGAATTTACACAGAATAGCTCAAAAAAATCTTTTGGTAACACTGATTGTAATTTACAGTATTTTTAAAAAATCTGTAATGAAAATGATTGTTGTCAGACATGCCTGAGAGATCATACCCTATTTAGCATAAGCAAATTCAGTTAAACAAACACTAAGGTCATTGGGGGCAGTAGGGGAGCAATCAGCTGTTCCAAATTACCCCACCCCACTACCACTGGTAGCCTGTGGGGTACTACTGTATATATTTTACGGCACTCATGAATCATAGTTTAATACTTATCAAATGACGAGTTTAAGCCTATTTCGAAACAGTTTTCTTAGGGACTTATAGGTAAGTCTTAACTTATTGGGAGCAGTAGCATGGATAATATGAAAAGTAAATAATTGTGTTCAGTACAAATAAAGCTGTAATCTAGCATAATAAATAAGGTGTTTGATACCGAATGCAAGCTTCCTTATCCATTGTAAGTAAAGGCCATACATGTATTGTCCTGTAATCTATATACAATTACATTCTATCAATATTTACTAAACAGTTTAATGAAGGTAAGGATGTCTTAATTTCCAAAACATAGTGTGTGGGAGCTTTATTTGAAAATTAAACATGATTTATTTGTGATGTTGCTCTGAGCTTATATTTAGAGGAGGGACTGGTTTGAGTCCAATCATTCTTGAGCTTTATTTGTTGTTAATAGCTTTTATATGTAATTTATTTCATTACACTTTGACCAATAGAGCCTAGAAGACTAGACCAGCAAAATAAAATAAGAAGCCATTGACTTCAAATTGTAGATTATCGATCAACTTAATTAGTAAATTGAAAATACATGTTCGGATCTCCATCCAAGTTGATTTTCCCAGTTCGCCTTTCGAATTAATCATCTTTGTTTTGCGTACTTTATTTTCCATGGTTACCTAAAATTAAACTTCACTTTTCTGAATATACATGTTAAGTGGTTACATATGTTTTGTAGAATAATTACATTTTGTCTTAATTAATTAACTATACTGAATGAGAATATTTTCATGAGAATTTCTTAAAAGCGCTTACATTATTGTATGATGAATTAGTATCAATGCCATGGCCTCTTCAACCTGATATGTGAAAGCCACATATTTTGTGTAAGCTAATTGAAACAATTAATTTTTTAAAGAAGGGAGAGTTCAATTCAACATTTTTTGTCATATAGCTGATCTTTGTCTCATTTTTATTAACACTAATACATACATATTTATCATAGATCTACCATAGGCGTAGCCAGTGGGGGTGCAACCCCCCTATAACCATTAAAAAAATGAGATAGAGGAGGAAGAGAGCTTTAAAATTCTTTTTATTTGAAGCTTCTAGCTCAATTTTGAAGGAAGTTGCATCAATTTTTGTAAAATTCATATCAAATATCTTGTTTATGCCAAAATCGCACCTCCCCTGACTGAACTTGGCATAAAACTGATTCTGCGGAGTTTCAGCTTTGTTCAAGTAGCATTTTGCCTTATACAAGTAGTACCTACATATGAGGTCTTGTTAGTGCCTTTGACAAGGCTTGTTAGTGTTGCATTCAGATAATAATGATAACGATAATTACATCATATATTTAATTGCATGACTGAATAAGCATCTTGATCTAGTGACTTATTGCATACAACTGAAGGCTGGTAGACTGAATGATATATAATAGCTTGGAATGCTGTTATATGATATTAACATGTTATGTGTATATCAGATCTCAGTCTGTAAGTGTATTATTGATGCTCAGTGAAAGTTGAGCTAATTTGACATTTCTGTACCACTTGTCATAATACAGCTATTGATTGATAACAGACAAATTAATTACTTACTGGGGGATTATTTGCTTTTACTGACATTTTAGCTACTAATTAACTCATCCATTTTGATACTCATCACAATTGTCTTGCTACAGAGATGAGAAAGAAGACAATCATTGCATATACCATGATCATAATATGTATTTTAGACAGATGTTAAATAGGTAACATTTTTACAGTTCTGCCCAAGAGAGTACAAGTGGGCCCAAACGTATGTTTCATTGTCTAGCTACAAGTCCCTTTGACCCCCCCCCCCTCCCACTACTTGACTACACAACTTTTCACACATTGGAGGTGTGTAGTGATGAGGGGGGGGGGGCTCACAAGGGCATACTGTACTTCCTTGATTTGCAATTAAGGAACTACAGCTATACAGTATATTTTTTGTGCTTCAATAAAACCTTAAAACAAACAATGGAGCAAAATATCCCATTTTAGATACAAAACCTTTGTATATTTTTTAAAAGCAGTGGCCTCTTGTTGGGTGTTTCAGTTATTTTAAGTTTGAGGGCATGCCTTGATAAATAACATGGCGGTGAAGCATCAAAATACAAGAGGCTTCACATTTGTTAGCTAAATAAACAATCAGATTGCATTGTTTGTAAAGTTAATTACAATTTTGATATCAATGACAGTTAATTCAGAACTCAGGGGCAATTAAGTGCACAAAATGAGCCTCAGGCTATGTAGTCTTATGATGTTATCATGTGACTATCAAAAAATAAGTTCACCATATAGCACACATTTTTAACAGCTTGGACATAGAGGCAGACAGTCACATCATGTTGTTGACCTGGACATATTGATAAATAACAACATATTTAGTGCACTTAAAATATTTGAAGTATTTGTCAGGTTTTGCTCAGCTTTGGATATCCATATTGGTAAAAGGGATTATGAGTTTTTTATACTTGATTGTAAAATACATGTATATGATGCACATGTAGGATGCAATGCATTTGTCTTATTCAGTTTTTATGTCACCACCAAAAGTGGTGACATATTGTTATGGTCTCCGTTTTTTTGCGACGGCGTCCGGCGGTTGGTGGTTGGCGGTTGGCGTCCGGCGGTTGGCGTCCGGCGTCTGTAACAATTTCTTACAACTTCCTATAACTTAACAAATACTGTTTAGACTGACTTCAATTTTTTTCTAAATCATCTACATGTTCTCAGAAGTTCAAATCTGACTTTAGATTTGACATTTGACCTTCAATGACCTTCTCAAGGTCAAAAAGGTCTTTTTTCAACTTGCTTCACATTGACTAAATTTTTTTTCAAAATCATCTACATGTTCTCAGAAATTCAAATCTGACTTTAGATTTGACATTTGACCTTCAAATCTGACTTTAGATTTGACATTTGACCTTCAATGACCTTCTCAAGGTCAAAAAAGGTCAAAAAGGTCTGTTTTCAACTTGCTTCAAATTGACTAAATTTTTTTTTCAAAATCATCTACGTGTTCTCAGAAATTCAAATCTGACTTAAGATTTGACATTTGACCTTCGATGACCTTCTCAAGGTCAAAAAAGGTCAAAAAGGTCTGTTTTCAACTTGCTTCAAATTGACTAAATTTTTTTTTCAAAATCATCTACGTGTTCTCAGAAATTCAAATCTGACTTTAGATTTGACTTAAGATTTGACATTTGACCTTCAATGACCTTCTCAAAGTCAAAAAAGGTCAAAAAGGTCTTTTTTCAACTTGCTTCAAATTGACTAAATTTTTTTTTCAAAATCATCTACATGTTCTCAGAAATTCAAATCTGACTTTAGATTTGACATTTGACCTTCAAGGTCAAAAAAGGTCAAAAAGGTCTGTTTTCAACTTGCTTCAAATTGACTAAATTTTTTTTTCAAAATCATCTACGTGTTCTCAGAAATTCAAATCTGACTTAAGATTTGACTTAAGATTTGACATTTGACCTTCAATGACCTTCTCAAGGTCAAAAAGGTCTGTTTTCAACTTGCTTCAAATTGACTAAATTTTTTTTTCAAAATCATCTACGTGTTCTCAGAAATTCAAATCTGACTTAAGATTTGACATTTGACCTTCAATGACCTTCTCAAGGTCAAAAAAGGTCGAAAAGGTATGTTTTCAACTTGCTTCAAATTGACTAAAATTTTTTTTCAAAATCATCTACGTGTTCTCAGAAATTCAAATCTGACTTAAGATTTGACTTAAGATTTGACATTTGACCTTCAATGACCTTCTTATAAGGTCAAAAAGGTCTGTTTTCAACTTGCTTCAAATTGACTAAAATTTTTTTTCAAAATCATCTACGTGTTCTCAGAAATTCAAATCTGACTTTAGATTTGACTTAAGATTTGACATTTGACCTTCAATGACCTTCTCAAAGTCAAAAAAGGTCAAAAAGGTCTTTTTTCAACTTGCTTCAAATTGACTAAATTTTTTTTTCAAAATCATCTACATGTTCTCAGAAATTCAAATCTGACTTTAGATTTGACATTTGACCTTCAATGACCTTCTCAAGGTCAAAAAAGGTCAAAAAGGTCTGTTTTCAACTTGCTTCAAATTGACTAAATTTTTTTTCAAAATCATCTACGTGTTCTCAGAAATTCAAATCTGACTTAAGATTTGACTTAAGATTTGACATTTGACCTTCAATGACCTTCTCAAGGTCAAAAAGGTCTGTTTTCAACTTGCTTCAAATTGACTAAATTGTTTTTTCAAAATCATCTACGTGTTCTCAGAAATTCAAATCTGACTTAAGATTTGACATTTGACCTTCAATGACCTTCTCAAAGTCAAAAAAGGTCAAAAAGGTCTTTTTTTAACTTGCTTCAAATTGACTAAATTTTTTTTTCAAAATCATCTACATGTTCTCAGAAATTCAAATCTGACTTTAGATTTGACATTTGACCTTCAATGACCTTCTCAATGTCAAAAAAGGTCAAAAAGGTATTTTTTCATCTTGCTTCAAATTGACTAAATTTTTTTTCAAAATCATCTACATGTTCTCAAAAATTCAAATATGACTTTAGATTTGACTTTAGATTTGACATTTGACCTTCAATGACCTTCTCAAGGTCAAAAAAGGTCAAAAAGGTCTTTTTTCAACTTGCTTCAAATTGACAATTTTTTTTTTCAAAATCATCTACATGTTCTCAGAAATTCAAATCTGACTTTAGATTTGACATTTGACCTTTAATGACCTTCTCAAGGTCAAAAAGGTCTGTTTTCAACTTGCTTCAAATTGACCAAATTTTTTTTTCAAAGTCATCTACATCTTTTCAGAAGTTCAAATTTGACTTTACAAGTTCTCAGCAATTCAAATCTGACTTAAGTTTGAACTCAAAATATTGTGAGCAACTAGGTGGTGACATTTTGTCATGTTAATGCCTTGTTTTATAATGTAATTTGTTTGTATTTAAGGCCAGTGATGAAACTTTATTAGCAATATTGATCCAGAATCAATATAGATATCAATGTATTAAGTATGTTACATAATTAATTGTCAGATGTACTTAAAAACTGGGATGCTGAGTCAGTTAAGCCATTTGATTCAATATGATCTTATTAGATGTAAATGGTGAATTGCCAAAGACAATAAGAAATATTGATTCAAATGCTACCAACTGTCATTGATAGATTATTCTCTAAATCATTTTCATGATATTCTGATCCAGGTTATCATATGTGCAGATCTAGAGCTGAATCTAGAGATTGGAAATGTATATTGTTGATTTTTATTCAATTGTGTTTTTATAGAATGGTATTGCTTATACATTTTAGGATGGTCGGAGTAAGGAGGTACTGCTAGTCATTTCTATATCTGGTATCAAGGTCTGCAGCAAGAATGGACAGGTACTGTATATCATAGTCTTCTATTTTTATCACAAAGCTCAATATAGAACATTTGAATACGAATAGGTCGTAATCTACACCCCATTATACATGATGTACTTTGTGCTTCCACACAGTATCTTGGCTACAGTGAGGGATTTCTCCCTATGATAGGCTTCTACTACAGTGTTTTACAATATAAAATACATAAGAAGCCCATGTTGTAGTCAACAGAGAGGTGATTTCCATTAAGGAGACATTTCACATGGGCTCTCAATTAGCTTTAAACGAGTTCCCTTTTGGTTGTCATTGTGCCTTTATCTAAACAATAGAAAATGAAAACTAAAAGTCATGCCAAAAATCAGAATAGTAAAAATAGGTATTGACAGTATGTTGATTGAGTCTTATGGTTACATGCAGGTGAATTATGTCATATGTGACATGAAAATAATGTTTACTTTTTCAGAGTGTCTACATGGCCCATGCTGTGAAAAGAATCTCTTATGCTACATGTGACCTCCAGAATTGCCAGTTTGCCATTATTGCAAGAGAACCCAAGGGATCTGCTAGCACTCAACATTGCCACGCCTTCAGAACCTCTACCCCCCAGCAAGTAAGATTAGTACATCATTAAACTACAGGATTTATTTGTTTTGTTCATAGTTTGACAATTACTACTACTTTAAGGTAAATCGAAAGTTGTATTTTGAATTTTAAGACGTTAAGATGTTGAATTGTGATTATAATCCACAGAATCTATCATCCAGAGAATCTCACATGAGCAAAACAACTGTAAATTAAGCTATAGTTTATATTGTTTTATATTACATTACATAATTTGACTTTCTAATTTTCTAGTGCAGTATGACTTTAATGCGTCATGCAACTGCTGTCTATAGCATATTAATAACTTGAAATAATATTTCCCATGGCTGGTATATGGCACACTCGGGGATAATTGCACCATCTGATGTCATTGAATTTGATATGATTGAAAAATGATCAGTTTTGAAAATCTCAAAAGGATATACTGGTACTTGCTTGTTGAAATTTTTAACGGTTTAACAGTTTACAAATCAAATTACATTTTTCACAACTAATGTTTGAGTTATTGAAAAGCAAATATCATCAACCAAAAGGTTAATTGATACATTTGGACTGTAATTATATGTTCAATTGTTTATAACTTGGCACCTGCTACATGCATTTTGGCATACTCCCTAAGGTTCATGCAGAATGAAAATATAAATTACTGAGTATGAATACGATGGTATTTGATTATCTAATAATATTTTTAACATGCATGCAGCAGACATAAAAGGCATATGAACTCCAAGTTACAAGTTCAACTGAAATAAAACAGTAAACTCTTATTTTACCCTCTAGGCTGAAGAACTGAACACATTAGTCGGTGATATGTTTAAAATGACATATGCAGCGGAACGCCAGAAGAATTCACCCACATTTAATGATATGATTGAGGAGCAGGTAGCGAAACAACGTGCAAAGTTTGAGGAAGTCCACGGGATGCAACAGGATGACCTACAGAAACGTCTCTCCCAAATCTCTCAGTCGGGGGTCTCCCAGGTTCAGTTTGAACGAGACATGCAAATGTTGTCAATTCAACAGGATGAGGAAAGGAGGAGAGAGAAAGTGGGTCAAAATAAAGTCTGGGTAAGTACCTGCTGTTATAATTAATAACCCTCAAGGATGGGCAAAATCATTTTCATTACATAATTTTTTATTTTTATATCTGGCATCTTAGTTTTTTGATAACAAAGAAATGGAGTGATATCATTGATATTGCATTTATTACATGGAAGCAGGACTTATTATCTTTTGACAGTTTGCCCAATATGGCAGCCATTTTATTGGAGAGTAACGCATCAATGTAATACTGGTTCTAAAAATGGCTGCAATTACACAAGTCTGCCACTTGGAATGTGTCATGCCTTTGCATTTCCATTATCTAGTTTTTTATCATTTTTATAATTTGTAATTGTTGTTGATGATGATAACTTCGATTGATAAATATATTCAATCTGATGTGTCAGTTTGAAAATTATAATTGCATGGTATTATCTTTGATCGTATTGACACCTAATCTGCACTCTACAGGCTAAAGTAAAATTATAAATAATCATATATTGGCCACTTATTGAGATACAGAAATCTAATTACCTTTACATATTTTTAACCTAACACAAATTTCTCATTAATCAAATCCATCTGGTTTTTATATCAATAGAATTTACTAAAAAATTGATATTCCCATCCATTAAATTGATGTGAAAGTGATAAGAATAAATTCTTGACCTCTTGACTTGACCTCTTAACTGAAAACATGTAATGTTTACCACATGAATTGGTATTATCTTGAAATAGAGATAGACTAAGATGCCAATTGCTTTATGTGACATTTTTGCATAATACTTGAGAAATGTTGAACTTTTTGTATGTTTTTATGTAGGCAAAGCATGCAGCAGGCAAGGCAAAGCACAGATCTCCAATTGCAGAACAATCACAGAATAATCTATCCAGGCAATCAGCTGCAAATAGCACTCAATTTAATTCCAATAACAACCATAAGATGGCACCACAGACAATAGCTTCGAATTCCAGGCCCTCCGCGTCAACTCACGTTCCTGTTGTTATCCCAGCAATACACAGTTTACGTAACTCAGATTTATTTCACAATTCATCGAACGATATGGAGAATATTAAAGGGTCTCCAGTAATGGCAATGAAACAAACAATTGATGAACAGTTTGAGGGGTCTGGGTTAGGAATAAAGGTGGAAGATTATACATATCCCGTGAGTCACTGGAGACCCCCTCAAAGCAATGCTAACAATGTGAGTATAAATAAAGAAATATGTTTCAGATGTTCATTTGAAGGAGTTATGCTGCAGATAGATAGAAGTCTTGACCCTATTAATTGTTTTATTATTTTTTCCAGGTGCCTAATAGAGAAATAAGCAGCATTATGTCATCGAGACCGCTTCCTGACACTCCATCTCACCATAGCAATGGAGTTCGTAATAAAGACAAATCAAAATTTAAGACTAGGAGACCCAAGAGTCTCGACTCACAAGATACATCAGAAAATCTTCAACAATTTGGTAGATCAAATACTCGAGATAAAGAGAGACTAAAAAATCGGGATATAGGAAGAGTAAGACCAAATAGTCGAGATATACAAAGACCAAATAGTCAAATCATAGAACAACCTAATAGTCAAGGTCAAGGACAAAATGGTTGGGATTTACAAAGACCACATAGCCGAGATAAAGAAAGACCTAACATGCAGAATATTCCTAGAGCAAATAGCCAGGATTCACCACAGGGTAATGAAACTTCATATCGGTATAATGTCCTGGAAAAACGAAATAGTCCTGAGAATCATGAGCCACCACATAATAATCATGACACACCTACATTTCCTGATAACATGCGTGAGCATATCTATGATCATGGAGAGATATACAACAATCATGATAACCCTGAGGATGCCTACAGGTTCAATACGCAACCCTCTAGCGATGCATGGCAGAGGAGATATCAAAACTCTAGTCCAGGAAACGAAAGCCAAGACCAAGCATGTGCCCCTCCTACTCCCACTCGGTAAGTACTCAATTAATGAACACAAGTCTGTATACCAGTGAGTACATGTACATTTTGATAAATGGGACAACTTTATACAATTTGTAAAATCTACTTGAACTTTAACTTGAAATGGAGACTACCACTTATCCTACTTATGGGTCACGAAAAGAGGTCCTGGCAAGGTTATTAATTAAAAAGTTTTATTGTTTAACATATGTGTCTGGTCTATCCAGTTCTGTGTGATTAAGCACTTAGTTAAATATTAGATACATTCTCCCCTATTATTTTAACACAAAAACAAAACCTATAGTTTTGTATCAAATAAATCATGTTCAGTCTTAGCTGAGCAAATTCCAAGTATGAGGGCTGTATTCCCTTGCTATATGAAAAATAGAAATTTGTGGTCTTTTTCATATAAATGGTGATCAGTTTATAATCGGTTGCCATGCACAACTGTTAGAATCACTTAAATCACATGTTTGGAAAAATTATCATAAACCTACTTATCCTATTAGCTTTCACCTCAATTCTAGAATTATACATTGCAGAGTTCCTATGCCCATAAGGCATTAACATATAAAATTTGAACCAAATTTGTCAAAAGTGAAATGTGAGCATGATAACATATTCAAATGATAAGTAGCAATAAAGATACATACATAAACCTGATTCATCAAAAAGGTCTTTTGAATGGTGACTTTTGAATTTAATTTGAAAATATTTATCCATTTATTAGAAACTTTTTTCAATGAACCAAACTTTCCTTTGTATAACTACAATATTGAGAGATCTAAGTACATTGTGTTTATGCCATTTTGTTCCAATTTTTTGTTGGATAGATATTTTATTTCATTCTCAAGAATTGCTAGAAAAGAGCACAAAACAATTGTACTGAAATTGTACTGTTTACTGAAACAATTATAAATATAAATATGCATACATAATTTTTACATTAAATTATTGTCAATCGGATGTGTTTTTTTACAGATTGTTTTCAATAATTGGTTTAAGAGAAAAACAATGTTGAATTTAGATCACTATATCGTCCAAATACCTGAGAGTAATATGATGGTCTCAGAAAATACTTAATGAGTTAATAGTCTTTTGGCTGTTTTCAAGTCAGGATTGTCTTTAGGCTGTTTTCAAGTCAGGATTATTTTGTAGCATATATAAAATAGCATGACTTTGCATGCTTAGATCATTTTGTAGCATTTTCAATTGCTTTTGAGTCAAGTCCACTAAGAATGCTACCTCCATCGTGTGCAATACATTCTCCATTCATCATTGATGCATCATCAGATGCTATAAACGCTATCATCTTGGCAGTTTCTTCTACATTTCCATTCTTCCCGAGTGGTGTAATATTCGCCACGGCTCTAAGATATGTTTCAGTCTCTTCATCTGTAAAGAATCTTTTGAAAACAGGTGTGTGGACAAACCCAGGACATAGGACATTGACACGGACCCCCTGAGCGCCAAATTCTAAAGCTGCACACTTTGTAAACATATTCAACCCAGCTTTTGCGATGTGGTAAAACCCAAAGGCATCAGTTGGCCGAATTCCATAGATGCTGGATATATTGACGATGTTGCCCTGCGTTTGTTTCAGTTCTGGAAGGCAAATTTGAGACAGCTGCACCGGTGCCCTCAATAAAATGTTGATTAAATTCTGAAAGTTCTGCATTGTACCAGTAGAAAGGTTATGTACATTGGTAGTACCAGCATTGTTCACCAAGATGTTAATTTTACCGAAAGTGTTCAATGCAGTATCCTTTATCTTCATGATGACATCTTCATTGCTGATATCCCCCTGCACGAATGGAAACTTAGCATCTTTTCCTCCTACATCTTTACATTCTTTTACAGTTTCCTCAATTGTTTTTAAGGACTGTCCATGTATAAGAACACTCGCACCTTCTCTGGCAAATAACAATGCAGTGGCTTTTCCTATTCCACTGTTTGACCCTGTGATGATCACTGCCTTGCCTGTGAATCTCATTTTGAAGTTGCACTCTGTGGCGTGGTCACTTCTGATGAGATAAAACACTATCTATGTGTATTTTATACTTTGTAATTTTGCATATATCAATTATTAACCCTTTGACCTTGTGGTTGAAAAATTGATAAATACATGTTGATCGATAAAGGGGGTCAATTATGCCTACATTCATACCATTGTGACCCATATACCAAAATGAAGAAATCCAAACAACATATAAATGTATAATCATTCATGAACAGTATATCATATTCATGACCAGGATCACAATGGGCATGGTCAAAATGAACCCAAAATTGATAAAATAGGTTTTTTAATATTTTGAATTTTTCTGAAAATACACCAAATACTATTATTTATGAGCTTTGAAAATTAGAAAAATTGTCTGAAAAATGTCATTCATAAAAAGGAAAATAGATTAATTTTAAAATCAGTTTTTCCTTTTCCTATTTCTAGGAATGGATTTTTTTAATTAAGAATGAAAGTGAAACAGGAATAAGTTAAATAGAGCAATCAGTCTAGGCAGTCCTAAGAAAAGATTGTCGATTACATTGGTCTATCTGAATGAATGGAGTTGCCTCAAATGAAGTGCTTGTTAAGGTATTGCAACATTAGCTTTCATTATCAAAATGCACAATCATTTGAAATGAATTACCAGTATCAACACTCTGACAGTTTTATATACAAAACTTGAAATAGTGATAAACACGAAAGAATTTGTTGATTTGATTTTTGATAGCATCTTTAAAGTGCAACATTAAAAGCCATATTTACAAGGTGTCATCCACCTATTTGTGAGATACATGTAATGATAAAGGACGATTCTCGGTTTGGAGAACAGTCTCCTGGGCTAATAATTTTTTTCATGAAAAATATAGAAATATTACCCAAATTAAACTATGAATATTCAAAAGAGGACATTTAATTCTACAAGATGTAAAAATAACAAATTGGTCTGAAGCAGGGATAACGCTCAATTAGACCGATTCAATAAAATACAAGTCTCGATTTGGGGAAAGAAGTTCATCAGTGTACTGCGCTAATATTTTTTTGCGAAAAATCAAGAAATATTACCCAAATTAAATTATGACTATTCAAAAGAGGACATTCAAATCTATATTATGTAAAAAAATCAAATTTGTCCGAAGCAGGGATAATGCTCATTTAGATTGATGAACTTCGTTCTCCAAACCGAGAATCGTCCTTAAATAAATTTTGTATAACATCTTAAGATCATCATTCAATATTTATTTCTACAAGGTATTGTCAGCACTTAGATTGTTATTTCATGTCATCAGATTTTTACTTTCTTATAATGCCTTGGAGCAATGATACGTTTTAAACTGTCATGACTACCACTTTCCGATAAACAAAATAAGGTTCTACTCAATGATTGAATTATTACATTCCGATTCTAAGGGGAATATCAAGTGTTCAATTGGAGACTACTCTCATAATATCCAGTAGACATATTATCTCATAGACTGAACATTTTGAATTATTTATCAAGTCCCAAGGCCTATCAACAATATAATGTCAACCTTATTCTCAAGAGAATCTGCTAATTAGCATGTAGACAGGTTGATTTATTAACAGCTATTCATACCATTAACATCAGGCGCTTATGGTTTTGATTGATTTTTTAATTCTTTCGAACAGAATCTAGCGATCTGTTGTTCTTATAGTAATTGAAAAGTAACTTATCTCAGATACTGTAGATTGGTTTAATTTGGCGCTATTCCGTTTAGCATTTCTCTGTTTTCTCCTCATTTGCAAACATTTGATTGAGCAAAACACAAAGGCATATAATAAATGTTATGAACTGGTTTGTGATGAAACTTTTGATTGGTCATTATTGTCATAAGATTTACTGGTAAATTATCTTCATGATTGCTGATACAGTTCTACTGTTATTTTATCATCTATGAACTAAGTCATATAATACACAGTATTCTGATATGCTTTTGTCACCATCTTTAGCTACTTGAACCAGGTAATATGCTGGATCACTTACTAGATTTAATGGTAACTTCCTCACTTACTAAATAAACAAGTATTATCATAATAGTAAGAGCTGAAAGGATTGGTAAAATGAAAAATGTAAATGTCAGCAATTTATGTTTTAAGCAATATTAAAATTAGAATGGTTCAAAGGGCATTTCGATATTTGGACTTGGAAAATTTTCAGGTCTACTTGAACTTTAAAGTGGGTACACACAGACAGAGTGTGACTAGAATCAGGATTACTGCAACATCAAATAAAAACAACATAAAACTCTGAAATATAAATGTTTATTTATTAGCAATTCACCATTGACCAAATAAATCTGCTGACATACATATTTGACAAAACTCCAACTTTCACAGTGCTTTCATTGTAGCTTATAAACGTGTATTTATTTTATCACTTGGTAAATAATATGACGTACAGTATCTGATATAAACTAAGAGCTGAAGCCTGTCTTTAATTACAAATACAAACTTACATGCATCAAAGTAATTAGTATTCAGTTAGCCTGATAGTAACTCAGTTAGGAATTTGCTAGAATTTACCAGTTTACTGCAGAAGTCAAGACTCAGACATAGACAGGTGGGATTGAAGAATCTACCCTGATCTCTTTGGCTAGTATATACTACTCTGACAATGACTGTGATTTGATATTTGACCAATCAAAGTGCACTGCTGAACCATGCAGAACAGAACACTCATTGTATTATGAAAGGCTCAGATTTCCTTGACAAACCAGACATTTATCAGTTATGTAGAGTGTGAGGAAGTTGATGACTTGCAAAGGGTATCTGGAGTTAAAATAATCTAACAGTGTTGAACCTTACTGTGGCGAATGTGGAAAATCAGCAGTCAGTGGAGTTCTGTTCAATATAACACTATTTTTTATGATAACAGCCATAACAGGAAGACTTCTAGGATTTCTCAATTTCACAACATGATGTTATATTGAAGTTCCTGTCTAAGTACTGTACTTAACACACATGAAAAATGGTTGTATTTAGATAAAAT